CCTTCCGCTTTCCCCACTGTCGCTAACCTCGCTACTCACCTCCGTGCACTAGAGAATAGCTACCGTGCTGCTAGCACTGCCGCCCAGCTCACTGCCTTCCCTCCACCGTTCTGTGCTACCCTGTACCTTATTGCCATGCGCATGCCTGACCGCTTAGCCACTGCCCGCGACCACTTCCTTAGTCAGCACCCAGGTAACCTTACCCTGACTGCCTTTCTCACTGCCCTTTCTAAGATAGAGACTCGCCAGCGCACTATCGCTTAGTCAAGCGATATTGTGGCAGTCCCTATCTTTAAGGGCTGTGCTCCCTCCCAGTGCACGTACACCGACATTTCCGCCGCGGTCGCTACGGCTGCTCCTACCACTGAGATCGCAGCAGCTACAGCGTCGGGGCCGTCGCGGCCCCAAGGGAGGGCGTGGTGGTGGCGACAGTGGTTCTGACGAGGGGGCTGGGGCTGGGGCTGGGGCAGTCATAGCAGACACAGCCACAGTAGTCGCAGCAGCAGCAACAGAAGCTGTAGCAACTATGGGCCCGCCTCTCGCCGGGGTGGCCAGGAGCCCCTAGAGATGGTGGCCGCGGTGGTGGCCCCCGCAGCTTGGCGCCTACCGGCGGCTTCGGTGCTGTGAGCTGCTAGTACCAGCTTCAGACCGGGCTCCTCTGTGACACTGTGTGCCGCCTCCCGCACCCAACCACTCATTGATTCTGCCGCCTCGACGAACTTTTCCGTCGCCGCTTCGGCCCGGCCCCGGACCTCCTTGACTGGCCCAGTGTGTTGCGCCACGGTGTGCCTGCTTTTGACTTAGATATGGATCAGCTTAGGCGTAACACCTGTGTGTAGTACAGACTCCCCTGTTGCGTCAGGCGTAGGACCATTTGCTTTGTCTAGCCTAGGCTCTACACTTGCTCCTCCTTCGTCCGCCGGTACCGCTTTGCTGTCCTTCACACTTGACTCCGGCGCGTCTACCTGCTTCTTTCGCGACCACGCTGCGCTTACGCTGCTTGCCGCTGTCGCACTTGCTGAACGCTCCTCTGGTCCCGTCGTTGCTCGCAGCTACACTACCTTTCCCACCCCAGCGGTTCCCTCGGGTTCCCGTACAGGCCTGCACATCCCCTCGTTCTCTCGGAACTTAGTTCGTGTCGGCTGGCTTCAGGACCTCGGCGTCACCACTACGTTCTCGGGTCACGAGCGGTATGCTGTCTGTGCCAAGGCCGCCTCATGTTTCCCCCTTGCAACGTTCCCCCGGGATCCGGTGTCTGGCCTGTTTATGCTGGACACTGCTTTCCCCCCGGGTAGGGCGTCCTCCCCGGGTCCTGCGTCAACCCATGTCGCCACTGCGTGCTCGTGTCGCTCGCTCACTCATCCGTCACTTCTGTGGCACCAACACCTTGGACACCCCCCACTCCCGCGTCTGCATCACATGTCCTAGCACGGTCTCGTCCTAGGTCTCCTTACGTCGCTTTCTGCCCTCCCTCCCTCGCCTGCGCCGCCGTGCACGCCCTGCGTCGAGGGCTGGCTGCGCCGTGCTCCTCACTCCTCCTCGCTTCGCCCTACCACCGCACCCCTCCAGACCCTGCACCTGGACGTCTGCGGCCCAGCCCCTGTCCCCGGACCGCGTCGCGAGCTCTACTTTCTAGTGCTTGTGGACGACTACACGCGCTACACCACGGTGTATCCCTTGGAGCAGAAGGCCGACGTGCCTGACATTCTTATCCCGTGGGTCGTAGCTGCGCGCCTCCACCGCGGTCTCCCGATGCTGTGTCTCCACTCCGACCGTGGCGGCGAGTTCGCCTCTTGTCGGCTTGGACAGTTCTGTCGTGTGGAGGGCATCCCCCAGTCGTACACCCAACAGGACTCCTCGCAGCAGAATGGGGTCGCTGAGTGATGCATCGGTTTGGTCATGGAGGTGGCTCCTACCTCCATGATTCATGCCGGTGCACCCCATTTTTTGTGGTCGTTCGCTGTTCGCTACGCTGCTCACCAGATTAACCTCTCGTCGCGCTCCCAGCGGCGGCTAGTTTCGCTGACCCTTCTTTGGACCGGGTTCCCTGGTGACGCGGCTGCGTTCCACATTTGGGGCTGCCTCACTCACGTTTGTGCCTCTGGCACGGACACGCTCACTGCCCGCACTGTCCCCTGTGTCTTCCTCGGTTCCCCCCTTAACTCGTCTGACTCGCACTTTTACCACCCGCCGTCTCACCGCTTCTTTCATTCTCGTGACGCCACTTTCGACGAGTCTGTCTCCTTTTACCACCGCTTTCCCCACCGAGGTCTCCCGATTTCCCCTCTCCTGTTTCTGGTTCCTACTCCCCCAGTAGCCCCTGCTCACCTCCCTCCCGTCCTGCTTCGTCTGGTGTGTCCCACATAACTCCCAGCCCGTCGGTTGTCTCGGTCGAGGGATTGGCCGACTCTGGTGGCCTCGCGGCGCAGTTCTCGCCGCCTGTCTCTCCCCCGGTGTCTCCTCCTCTGCTGTCGCAGTCGTCACCGCCGCAGCAGCCGTCGCCGCCGCCGTCACAGAAGCAGCAGCCATTCGTGGACTCTGGGGGTGCTGGCGTTGAGGAGGGTGCTAGTCTTGGGGTTCCTATCGTGGCTTGTCCCAGCGAGCTCGACGGTGGCATCGGTGCTGGAGAGGGTTCTCGTTCAGGGGGTGCTGGAGTGGAGTGTTCTGGAGGTAGCTGCACTGCAGCTGGCGGTCCAGATGTCGGCGTCGAGCAGCAGCAGCAGCAATCACCGCCGATGTCTGCCCTTCGCCGGCTCGTTTCCCACCTTGTTCCCCTCTGGTTACTCCTCTTCTGTCTCCTGACTCGATGCCTCCGTCTCACGTCTGGTCTCGCCGTCCCCCTCGTGCTCGTCCTGTCTCCCCTGTTCAGCGTTCTCACCCCATGTTGCTTCGTTCCCATGCGTCTCATCCTCCCCTCCTGCCTTCGCCTCCTCCATCGTCGCTCGCACTCGCATCTCCCCCTCTGTCTGACTACCTTCGTGCTGCTCATCCTCTTGTTCCCAAGGTCCTTGCCTCCCTCGTTACTAACCTGTCTGTTCCTGTCTTGAGTCTTGACACTCTTGTCGCTGCTGTCGCTGACTTCGCCTCTACCTGCCGCCTTGACTACGCCACCGCTCTGGTCTCTGACCCTGTTTGTTCTCCATCCATCGGGGGTGCTCCTGCCCTTGGCAGTGACGTCATAGAGGACAGGCAGTACGAGCTTGCTTTCCTGTCGGAGGCTGCTCCCCATCTTTGTTCCATGCTGCTAGTCTCTGAGGGTGACCCAAACGCCTTTGAGATCCTGACCCCTCGCACTTACGCTGAGGCCACCTCGGGAACCTGGGCCTCTCAGTGGATAGCTGCCATGGAGCAGGAGATGGCATCTTGGAGATCCACCGGGCACCTATGTCGACACAGTTCCCCCACCTGGGGTGAACGTAGTCGATGGCCAGTGGCTCTTCAAGGTGAAGCACCTCCCTGGAGAGCCATCTGTTTTCAAGGCATGCTACATGGCTAGAGGCTTCAGTCAGCGAGAGGGGGTGGAATTTTTTCAGACCTTCGCCTCGACCCCGAAGATGACTACTCTTCAGGCGCAGCTATACGTAGCAGCACAACGTGACTACGAGCTCCACTCCCTCAACTTCTCCACTGTTTTTCTTCAGGGCAGCCTACACGAGCAGGTCTACTTGTGCTGTCCTCAGGGCTTCACCGGTTCCTTCCCTCCTGGGACCCACTGGCTCCTCCGGTGCCCAGTCTACGGCATGCGACAGGCGCCCTGTGAGTGGCTCAACATGCTGCGTGCTACGCTAGCTGACCTGCAGTTCTTTTCGTTCTTTCACAGGTCAGTGCGCCAGGTCCTTCACAGATTCGGTCTTCAGTTCTCCTCCACACAGCCCACACCTCTGTTAGGAGACCACAAGCTCTCAGCTCCAGTTCCTGAGGAGTCGGTAGAGCCCAGTGGACCTTACGCAGAGCTGGTGGGTTGCCTCATGTACCTGATGACTTGCACTCGTCCAGATCTCGCATAACATGTCAACATCCTGGCTCGCTTTGTGGCCACAGGCAGACACCAACCACAACACTTGTCGGCTGCTAAGAGGGTTTTGCGTTATTTAGCAAGTACATCGGGCATGGGACTAGTGCTAGGAGGACGCAGGCCAGTGGTCCTTACTGGGCATACAGACGCTGAGACCCTCAGGTCCTCCCAGGGCTACTGCTTTAGCCTTGGTTCGGGTGCCATCTTATGGAGGACCACTCGCTCCTCGTCTGCCGCCCAGTCTAGCTGCGAGGCTGAGATCTACGCCCGTGCCATGGCGGCACAGGAGCTCCGCTGGGTGACCTTCTTGCTCGCCAACTTAGGTGAGCGGCCTCGCTCTGCCCCAATTGTATACGCTGACAACAGGGCCATAATCCTCCTGTGTCAGGAGCCACAACTTGAGGGCATAGTGAAGCACATCCAGCTACGGTACCTCCTCCTACGCGAGCTACAGCAGCGTCGCCAGGCCCGCGTAGTACATTTGGCCTCCGGTGCCAACACAGCTGATATCTTTACTAAGGCGCTTGCGCCTAAAGTTCATCAGTGGCACTGCTTGCAGCTTGGTCTAGTTCCTGTAGACTTTCACTTGCTAGGACCTTGATTGTGTAGTCCTCTATATTTATACCTTCCAGTCTGACCTTGTGGCTTCTCTTCTAGTGGGCGGACTAGTAGTGCCGCCCTGGTTTGCTTTTGTCTTGTTTGTACTCTTGCTGACTGGTCTTCGGACCCCTGCCTCAGCGGTTGGACTAGTAGTGCCATCCTGAGCTGCGTGTTTCTTCTTAGCATTGCCCTTTATCTAGCCTAGGGGGTGTGTCAACTTATATATATGTTTGTATATAGAAGTTATATGCTAAATAGGTGTATGTTTTTAGAGGGTACAATTCCAACCCTATGTCTCGTTCTCTCTTCTTTCTAGTTATTCTTGTATTCTAACATGAACTACATCTATCTTTACTAGGGGGTGTGTCAACAAATGTAATTGTCTAAGCTAGCTCATTTTTTATATTTGTTATAGCCTTCGTTAGGTCAGTTTTTAGAGGCTACAGTCCTATCTTTGTAACCCTCGACATTTTCCCCTAGTTCACTCTTCTCTACATCCCATGTTTTAATCAAACCACTTCGTGTCTTTCATAAGCATGAGCATACCGTATCACATCAATTACGATGTACACGGACATTTTCAGGTGAGGAGCGGCGCGGTTGCATCCATATTTACGTATCTTGTGATGCTCGCAAAGCATTTGCTATGTGAAGATCAAGCAGAAAGCATATCTCATCGCCCTGCAAGCACCCAACGACCACACATCAGTCAATAGAACAGCCCAATGGCACAAGTGCAGCTCACACTACTTTGCCCGATGCACAAATTATGAGTGGCATAAGGCTGAATGAGTGCACCAGACCAGAAACTCACCCCGGTTGTTGCAAACTCGAACGAGTGCAGCTCCTCTTGCAGTGCGAAGCTGAAGAATACTTCACCGGGCTTCCCAAATAAAGCATGATGCACAAACCAAGAGTCACAGGAGGAGACTCACCCAGGTCGTTGCAAACTCGAACGAGTGCAGCTCCTCTTGCAGTGCGAAGCTGAAGAATAGTCCACTGGGCTTCCCGAATAAAGCATGACGCGCAAACCAAGAGTCACAGGAGGAGACTCACCCAGGTCGTTGCAAACTCGAACGAGTGCAGCTCCTCTTGCAGTGCGAAGCTGAAGAATAGTCCACTGGGCTTCCCGAATAAAGCATGACGCGCAAACCAAGAGTCACAGGAGGAGACTCACCCCAGTTGTTGCAAACTCGAACGAGTGCAGCTCCTCTTGCAGTGCGAAGCTGAAGAATATTCTATCGGGCTTGCCGGCATACTCGGCTATTTCTCTCAGCTCTGCTTGGTGAATAACCGACCGCACCTCTGCGTCCAAAAAGTGAAGCTGCAATCCAGTGAAACCGCACGCAAAGGCAAGCACATTTCGATTGTGAGGTTTTTTAGAGGAAACGGGGGGGTGGGTGAGAGGCAGCAACGCCTCCCCGAATTCATGTTATTTTTGTAAAAAAGGCAAAAATACTTTTTTTTAAAGAAAGGATAAAAGAAAAACCACAATGACCTGCAAAAGAAAGAAGTGGGCAGTACGCTAAGCCCTGTAAAAAACAGCACAAAGCAGTATGCAGCTCACCCCGTTGTGGTTGACCCCCACAATGACGTGCTTTGGGAAGTAATTCGCCGTGTCTTCCTCGGTGCGCAAGTCAAAGAAGACCGACCCGCCCTGGGGGATCTCCAGTAAAATGCGGACGAACTCTCTCATCGTGGCCTCATGATCCAACGACCACTGTGCAGGGACAAGGGAAGGGGCACACATGAAAGAGACGATGAAAGAATTGGGAAATAGTTGGCCATCTCCTTCTTGGTGCGCAGGTCAAAGAAGGACGTATTTGATTCGAATCAGATGCCTTCGCGCATTTGTTTTCATTATTTCTTTGCCTTTGGGTCGACTCAAAAGCTGGGAAGAGCTTGAAAGGGCTATCGGCATCTCACCAAAGTTCGGTAGGGCTCGAGGATGAGGTTCATCCACTCGTGTCTATGAGCCATAACAATGCCCGTGAGGCGACTCAATAGCCGGGAGCGGGTGATGACGGGGTTCACAAGCTCTCACCAGTGTTCAGAAGGGTTCGAGAATGAGGTTCATCCACTCGTCCTTGGAGTAAAACCTTTTGTGTAAAATCAAAAGCCTGAGGCAACTCAAAAGAAGGGATAAGGGAAGGGGTCCTGAGCTTCTCACCAGTGTGCGGTAGGGTTCGAGGATGAGGTTCATCCACTCGTCCTTGGCGTGAAGTCGAGATACTATCTTTGGAATGGACCTCCTCATCTGTATGCTCCACTCCCTGTTGTGGCAGGTGGGAACATCAAGGTAGGTAGGCAGGTAGCAGCACAATGAGTGTGCAATAGGGTTCGAGGATGAGGTTCATCCACTCGTCCTTGGCGTGCGGCCGGGAGACCATCTTTGGAATGGACCTCCTTTCATTTGTATGCTCCACTCCCTGTTGTCTTTTGAGTCGACTCAAAAGTTCATTTGTATGCTCCACTCCCTGTTGTCTTTTGAGTCGACTCAAAAGTTCATTTGTATGCTCCACTCCCTGTTGTCTTTTGAGTCGACTCAAAAGTTCATTTGTATGCTCCACTCCCTGTTGTCTTTTGAGTCGACTCAAAAGTTCATTTGTATGCTCCACTCCCTGTTGTCTTTTGAGTCGACTCAAAAGTTCATTTGTATGCTCCACTCCCTGTTGTCTTTTGAGTCGACTCAAAAGTTCATTTGTATGCTCCACTCCCTGTTGTGGCGGCGAATTACAGCGGCATGCGAAAAAGGAGGGTTACAATAAGGCACACGGCAGCAACATCATGCACAGCACAACAGCAATAGTGAGTGAGGTTTTTCCCTTTTGCTCTTTTTCTTCTTCCTCTTCTTTCTTTTCTTCTCCTTCCTCCATACGCAGATATTTATCACTCTCAGCATGGGAGAGCGCTTACAGGGCCGTTTCTGGGTTGGCAATGACCCCGATCTCTGCAGCTATTTGCAGCGCAGCCAGCACCACTGCTCCCTCAACTGTCACCAGATAGTGGCTCGTGAGATAGTCATAGCGCAACTGCAGGGGGGATTGTGGGAAAAGCCGTGTGGGAGGGGGGGGGAGGGAAGAGCGGGAGTGGGTGGGGGGCGTGAGATTAAAGGGGGAAGCAAAGCAGCAGCACCGCTCCCACCACCGTCACCAGATAGTGGCTTGTGAGATGGTCATAGCGCAACTGAAAGAGCGGGTGAGGGGGAGCGAGTAGGTGGCGGGAAGGGAACCAGGGGGAAGCGAAGCAGCACCACTGCTCCCTCCACCGTCACCAGATAGTGGCTTGTGAGATAGTTGTCGGGATTGGGTAAAAGACGTGGGGGGAGAGAGAAGGGGGCGGGTGGGAGAGGGGGGGAAGTCTGGAAAAGAGAGTATAGCAGCTCAGCCGGTAAGGCGTCATCTGTCGTTTCTTAAGCAGCAGCTTGCTCACCACCATGCTGCCCCCAACCCCAGCCCCCCCCCCAGCCATAGCCCTCATTCACAAAATCACACCCTTTCAAGATCAACACTAACCTGGGCGTAGCACAGGCGCACGTGCTGCAGCTCGGCCGCCAAGGCATCATCCGTCTTGAAGAACCGTTTCTTGAGCAGCAGCTTGCACACCACCATGCTGCATCGCGCCGCCTTCACATAATCCGCCATCACGTCTGAGACATAGGCGTCCGGGTCTAGAGGCACGTGGTCTGATGCGAGGGAGGGGAGGGATGCGAGGGAGGGGAGGGAGGGGAGGGATGGGAGGGATGGGATTGGGGTTTAACTCGTGGTCTGGTACACAGGAGGAGAGGGGAGAGCACATGGCCAACAGCCAGAAAATGCTGCCTTCGTATAGGCACTGGCAGGTGAGAATGGCAAAGGCAAAGGTGTTCGCCCGCGCGGGTGTTCACCCGTTCACCGGTGGCTGAAGCACATCACGAGAAACAGCCAGGCTTCAAAAGCAGCTTTGACTCACCAATGGTGGGGTCGCTGTGAGTGGCCCCCACTGACTTGTAGATGCGGCACGTGAACATTGCAAAGGACGAGGTGTCTGTGATCTGCAGCCTTTGCAGCAGCAGCTGCATATGTCAGAAACGGGTGGAAGGATGAGGCACAAAAGGGTGGGCATCAGAGCGATGGAGAGGTGAACATGACAAAGGAAGGAGGATGCGCCTGTCAGTTGCAGCTTATGCAGCAGCAGCTGGAGGAGCGGGTTAGGGGACAAAGAGGTTGAAATAGAGGGATAGACAGCAAGGGGAATGGGAGGCAGGGGGAAGAGCAGGTGAACATGGCCAAGGAAGAGGTGACTTGCAGCCTCTGCAGCACCAGCTGTTTTTGAGGCGCCTCAAGAGGTGACTTGCAGCCTCAGCAGCTGGAGGAGCAGGATACATGGTGGAATGATAGATGACAGCAATAGATGCTAGCAATATGGGCCAGTGAGCGCGAGTCGTAGATGGATTACAGGTGGGCTGCGGAGGCCTTATGTCCATCAAGTCTGTAGGTTAGTACAACAAAACGAATAGATGACAGCAATAGATGCTAGCAATATGGGCCTGTGAGCGTGGTGACTATGGCGCATACAGCTTGCAGCAAGACAAGCAGGGAATGACATTCAGCAATGAGCATTGGACTGGGAGCTGCTGTAGTGGCTGCACGCATGTAGCATGACAAGAAAAGCACGACTCAACATCACCACCTGCCTCTCACCACCAACAGCCAGTTACCAGTTACAGCACACCGGCGTACCTGCATGGCTTCCCCTATGGTTGTCACTGCACTGCTGTGGATGTTCTCCAGGGTGTCATCGCACAGATACACTGGCACCAGCAGAGGCGTGTGTGTCAACAGAGAGAGCACCTGGGAGGCGCATGCGGAGAAGGGAAGGGAAAGTGCAAACGAAGGAATCAGCGCCTCTCTCCGATGGTGGTCACTGCACGGCTGTGGGTGTTCTCCAGTGTAACATCACACGGATACACCGGCACCACCAGAGGTGTGTGAGAAATGCCGCTACTTCTAGTGATAGCTAACTCACCCAGAGGCAAGAGTCACATCTCAGCTATACTCACCTCGTCTTGCCCCGGCACACATATCCTAGGCCTGTGCTTCAGCCCGTGGTCCAGCGCCTTCTATGCTGCCAGCACTGCCTCTTGCATGGCCTTATCCAGAGACCCTCCGTCCCCTCTCCTCCCCCCCCCCAGTCCGCCATCACAGACTAGAAGTGCTGGCACGGGCCAACCTCACCCACCTCTTCTTGCCCCGGCATGCGTCTCCTGGGCCCGTTCTTCAGCCGTGGTCCAGCGCCTTCCACGCTGCCAGAAAGGATAACCAAGTTATGATGCACCATTGTACCTCAAACCAACTCACCTCTTCTTGCCCCGGCACGCATCTCCTGGGCCCGTTCTTCAGCCCGTGGTCCAGCGCCTTCCACGCTGCCAGCACGGCCTCTCGAATGCCCTCGTCCCCCGCCTCGTCCGCCACAAGCGAGGAGAAGTACTCGGAGAGAGGGCCAGCGATGGTGGTGGTGGGGGGGAACACGCCCGCACACAGGCGCATGAGCTCCCACGCCTTGAGGCACGAGCCCCTGGGAGAAGGGGAGCAGAGGGGATAGGGAGAGGAAGAGGTGTGTGCCGCATCACAACCAACCAATCAACGTTCGTCAACTCAACTCACGCACACTCGGTTTATTTTCACAGCTGCAGGAACGTCTCAGCCTGCAGCATCGGCTCCTTCCCCAGGTCCAAGAACACCCGTTTCATCAGCCCCTATGCAACCAATCAGCATCCGTCAGCTCACTTGCACTCAATCCCTCGCGGTACATTTCCACAGCTGCCGGAACGCCTCAGCATGCAGCATCGGCTCCTTCACCAGATCCAGACGCAGTGTTTGATGTTTGAAGAGTTCAAAATCTGTCACAGCAGATAATCCCTCCACACAAACATAAACTAAATCACTTGCACTCAATCCCCCTCGTTTGCTTCCACAGCTGCATGAACATCTCGGCTCCTTCTTCGGATCCAGAAGTTTCAGCTCTTGAGACATTTAATGATCAAATACTGCATCAAATTATCTACTGGACTCACTTGTACTCAACTCTCCTTATCTGCTTCCTCAATTGCAGGAACATCTCGTCCCGCAGCATCTGTTCCTGCCCCAAGTCACACAGAATTCGTGCGTCCCAGCGGATACTCTTGAATCCCAAGTAAACCACCTCACTTCCACCCACCGACCAGCCATTCCATTCGCTTGTACTCGATCCCCCTCGTTTGCTTCCGCAGCTGCAGAAAAATCTCGTCCCACCGCATGGGCTCCTTTCCTGAAATCTAAGAACAGTGTTTGACTCCTAATAAGTTCAAAGGTCAATACCTGCACACAACCATAGACTAACTCACTTGTACTCGATCCTCCTCATTTGCTTCCACAGCTGCGCGAACATCCGGCCCACAGAATCTGCTCCTTCTTCCGATCCAGAAGATCAAACATTGAGAAATAAAAAGATCAAATACTGCGTCAAACCATCCACTGGACTCACTTGTACAGCCTCGTCTGCACGTCGTCTGCTTCCACAGCTGCACGAATACCTCGTCCCGCAGCATGAGCTCCGTCCCCAGGTGCAAGAACACCCGCGGCACCAGTAAATTCACTTGACTCTCTAGTACACGCCTCACGCCCACCCACCGACCAACCATCCCACTCACTTGTACTCGATCCCTCTGGTCTGCTTCCACAGCTGCATGAACATCTCGTCCCGCAGCATGGGCTCCTTCCCCAGGTCCAAGAACACCCGCGCCACCAGCGCCACCTCCTCGGCGCGGCTGAGCACCTTGCCCTCGTGCACGCCCATGAACCGCAGCACGTCGTTGAATACTCGCGTGGCGGGCTCGTGCAGATTGCCGTTCAGCCGCAGCATGGAGGTCGGGATCGCGTCCTGGGGGGGACACCGGCGGGGGGAGGGAGGGGTGGGGGAGGGCAGGGGGGAGGAGGGGGCGGGAGTAGGGGCGGAGCTCGTGTCAAGAGAAACCAGCGCCACGCCACCTCCTCGGCACGGCTGAGCTCCTTGCTCTCGTGCACGCCCATGAACCGCAGCTTGTCGTGGAACACTCGGGTAGCAGGCTCGTGTAAGCTGCCGTTTAACCGCAGCATGCACGTCGGGATCGCATCCTGATGGGGAAAAGAAGCAGACGGGGCAATTGGGGGGGGGGGGGGGTGGGGGGGAGGGAGTGGTGAGAAGGGAAGGGGCGGGGTTGTCAGGGGAAGGAAACGCAGGCAGGACTCAGAGAGCAGCAGGTCAAGGAAGACACGTGCCACCAGCGCCACCTCCTCGGCGCGGCTGAGCACCTTGCCCTCGTGCACGCCCATGAACCGCAGCACGTCGTTGAACACTCGCGTGGCGGGCTCGTGCAGGTTGCCGTTCAGCCGCAGCATGGGCGTCGGGATGGCGTCCTGATGGGAAGATGTGGGGAGGGAAGAGGGTAGGGTTGGGCGGGAGGGGAGGGGGAGGGGGCTCGTGCAGATTGACGTTCAGCTGCAGTATGGACGTCGGAATGGCGTCCTGGGGGTGATACCAACGGAGGGGAGCGGGAAGACGGCGGAGGGGAGGGGGTGGGGTTGGGCGGAGGGGAGGCGTAGGGGGCTCGTGCAGATTGCCGCTCAGCCGCAGCATGGAGGTCGGGATGGCGTCCTCGGAAAAAAGACTGGTGGGGTGGAGGGGGTGGGGGAAGTGAGGGGGAGAACGGGGCGGGAAGCCGGCGGGAATCATAACGGGAACTGATGCTTTCGCAACCCGCCTGTAATCGAAAAAATCTGCTTTTCCGCCAGCTTCTGAAATTCGTCTATCCCGCACCTGCTGAAAGGAGAACATGTCTCGGACGGTGTACTGCTCGGCCTTGGTGGTCCCCGCGCCCGACGACTCCCAGCAGGCGTCGCCGGGCAACCTGTCGAAGCAACTCACTTGTAGCGTTTCCTTTCTGGCTGCCGGCACCTGCTGAAATTCGTCTATTCCCGCACCTGCTGAAAGGAAAACATGTCTCGGACGGTGTACTGCTCGGCCTTGGTGGTCCCGGGCCCGACGACTCCCAGCAGTCGTCGCCGGGCGACAGCAGCCGCGCGAACGTCCAGCATCGCTGCGACGAATGCGTCCACCTGGCAGATGTCGTACAGCTCCTGCACCGCCTCGAGAGTGCCGCCGGGCACTAGCCTGCTTGAAATGAACAGATTGACAGGGGCAAGGAACAGGTTATGGCATTAACAAATGAAGTTGACTTCTGAGTAGGCCCCTGCACCGCCTCGAGAGTACCGCCGGGCACTAGCCTGATTGGAGGAACGACGGAATGAGGTCGTAGGGAACGAGCGAGGAATTGGTTACGCGTGATTTTTCAGGAAAGCTGACTTTTCAGCGGACTATTGAGTCCCCTAGGGTGCCTCGAGAGTACTGCCGGAAAACTAGCCTGGTTGGAATGACGGCACCAGGAGAAAGTGAGATTACTCGACGGACCAGGTCTAGATCCCAGGATGTCATGGTTACTCTCACATGACGTCATGGTTACTCTCACATAACGTCACATTACGTCACGGTTACTCTCACATAACGTCACATTACGTCATGGTTACTCACATGACGTCTAGAAACGCCTCTTTGTAGTCCATTTCTGGCGAGTCCTTCAGAGATATCGAGCTCTCCATCATGGCTGCTCTGGTCGTCGTCACCACCATCCTATATTGTAGCCAAATGAACGTTAGCGAGACTACGGTCGCGCTCGGGACGGGACAGGGCCTTCGTCCTGATGTCAGAACCAGAGTTGAACTACAAAAGTATTTCTATCCTGATATGTTTTCCTGTCGTAAGATAACTCCTACTTCCGTCGTTCGACGTGGAAACGGCACAAGACGGCTGTGTTTAGCAGGATAGCTTTCGTCCTTTTTGTGTACAGCAGTCTATTCAAGAATTTGGAAAGGCAGCTGCTTAGCAGGATAGCTGAGAAGACATGGGACCTGGAAGCTGAGAACGAAAGGTGGTCAATCGTAAGACCAAACAAACAAGCCAGGATGCCAGATTCCAAACAAACCCAATCCCAGGGCTTGACCGACACTGGGGGTGGGGGGGAACACGCACGACACGGGCGTCGGGCAGCCCCAAAGCAGACCCAAGCTGAAATCACCACTCCAAGGGAGACGCAACCAATCACAACGCTTGACTGACACCTTTCAGCAATCAGCGGACCGCCCTCCTCTGCTTCCAACAGGGAGGAAAACCCGAGAGCCTCGAAACGCGTCCTCCCGCCACAAATGTTCTGAAGCCGAAGCGCTCCTTTCGTCGTTTGTGCGTCGCCACCTTCAGTTGGAAGGGGTCACGATACAGCAGGAGTTGGAAAACTCGATATAGTGTCACATTACAGAGGCGAAATCAGCTGTAATTATGTCCTTATAGGGGATTTCCAAGAAGACACACGTATACACGTCACCTGGCTCTTACTAGCTGCAATTTCATACCTAACTCGTACAAATTATTCAAGAGCTCCCTCAAGGAGTACTGTACCAAGGTGGAGGACGCATCAACCCCTTGACCTTCCCATCTCAGCGAGGAGAAGGGGATCATTTTCCGAACGAGGGTCCTGCAAGGGCGTCAATGAAAAATCCAAGTTAGCTTTTGAACCAGAGTCGTGGAGGGAGGAGGGAGAGGGAGGGAGGGACACTACAGCACGTAGCATGCCAGGAATTGTGATAGGAAACAACAGCAAGTGATGCAAGTGAGTGAGAGGGAGACCAAGGAATGAGGACAGGAGGAAAGGCTTACAGTTTCACGGTCGCTGTCATTGGCCTTCTCAAAACTTAAGCCACCCGAGGCAGGAGCTGAAATCTACGCTCGGAGCAAAGCAAACAGGTCAACCAAACAAGGCGAAAAACATGAGGTTCTGAACTGAAGCACAACTGGTGAAAGAAACGCAATGCTAAGATGCAAACAGCCTCATCTATCTGATGCACCAGATGCACCGGATGCACCGGATGCACCGGCTCCTAAACCAACTCCAACCAAGCACAAACCTGGCAGCCATTAAAACCAACTGAACCACCCTTGGAGCCCACCTAAATCACCTGAAGCCCACCTGAGCCACCTGGGAGCCCACCTGAGCCTCTCTGGACTTGGCCTCTTGGATCTGCACGTAGGAGTAGGCCATCATGCCAACCAGCGCCACCAGTATGCCGCCCACATTGCGCCAGCTGAAGGGGTTGTTGAGCACCAGGTAGCCCAGCCCCAGCACCAGACACGTCTTCAGGTGGCCTAGGACCTGAACACCAACACATGCACATACAGGCATGCAAGCGAGTGGGAAGAAGTGGGGAAGGGGGATGTGGGGAGGCATGAGGATGGAAGTACGGAACTGCAGCACATGTGAGCCACATGGGTATGAGAGGAGCACTCTGAAAGCTAGACCCATTGAGGCTCCTTATAGCCCACCTGGTAAGTGACGGGAGACGTCTTGCCGATGACGAGGAAGGAGCTGAAGTTCACAGCCACGGCAATGAAGCATGATAGCAGGATGAACGACTGGAGCGGCACGGGACACAGGGAAGAAGGCATAAACGGTGGGGGCAGGAAAAGGGTTAGGAAGTAAGCAGCTGAAGTTGACAGCCACGGCAATGAAGCATGATAGCAGGATGAACGACTGGAGTGGCACGGAACACAGGGAAAGAGAGGAAAACATAGGGGGAAAGGGGAGATAATGATCAAGAGGAACAAGTGGCGGAGGTTGACAGTCGCGGGGATGAAGCATGATAGCAGGGTGAACGAACGACTGGATGGTGTGGGACAGAAAATGGCACTGGCAGCAGGGAATGAGGGGTAAAGAGAAGGGGGGTGGGGAAATATGGGGACGGGGGAGGTCGTCTGAGTGTAGCTACCTGGATCAGATATTCGTTGCCAGCCGCGTTTGCAAATCGCAAGTGGGACAGACGATTGCACTCTGTCACAATTCTGGCCCACATGGTAAAGTTGTGACTGGCTCTGTTGCAACTTGTTGTTACACCTGACGTTGCTTCAACAGACACTGTTTGAGTAGGATGTGGTCAGCAGCACTCCAGAACGCTTAACGGCGAGTCGTTGCTGACGGTGAGGTAGGAATCCACGAAGGGGTGTTGGGACTTCTCAAACCACTCATCAACACACGAGCGTGATGCATTCACCAGCACTACTCTACGAATCAAAAGGACAGTGAAGTCGTAGTTGAACGCAAAGACGTTATTGCCTTGCCTGTGAGGTAACCGTCCATCAAGGGGCTGGAGAGGACGTCTAACTACTCACCAGTACTCAAAGGGGTATTGAGGGGGCGTCTCAAGGCACCCACCAGCACAGTGCTATGTAGCACTCAAAGCACTCACCAGCACAGTGCTATGATGCACTCAAAGCGCTCACCAGCACAGTGAAGTCATAGTTGAACGCAAAGACGTTGTTGCCAGTGAGGTAGGCGTCGACGAAGGGGCCGGAGAGGATGAGGATGAGCGCTTGGAAGGGCGACGACTGGTACAGCAGCTGCGTGCTGCTCACCTTGTACCCCTTCTGAATCGTGTTCGTCATCTGGAGTACGGGACGGGAAGGGAAGGGAAGGGAAGGGAAGGGGAGGGAAGGGAAGGGGAGGGAAGGGAAGGGAAGGGGAGGGAAGGGAAGGGGAGGGAAGGGAAGGGGAGGGAAGGGAAGGGAAGGGGAGGGAAGGGAAGGGGAGGGAAGGGAAGGGGAGGGAAGGGAAGGGGAGGGAAGGGAAGGGAAGGGGAGGGAAGGGAAGGGGAGGGAAGGGAAGGGGAGGGAAGGGAAGGGGAGGGAAGGGAAGGGGAGGGAAGGGAAGGGGAGGGAAGGGAAGGGGAGGGAAGGGAAGCGAAGGGAAGGGAAGGGAAGGGAAGAAGGGAAGGGAAGGGAAGGGAAGGGAAGGGACACAGGAAGAGAACGGGAGAATGTGGTGAGAAGAATGTGACTGGTACAGCAGTCGCGTGCTGCTCGCCTTGTAGGCTTGTACCCTTCTCAATCGTGTTCGTCATCTGGTGCAGGGCGAGGGGGCGACTGAAGGGAGCTGTGAATATGAGTGGTACAGCAGCTGCATGCTGCTCACCTTGAACAGTGATGAGGGATCAGGGAGGGCGTGTAGCCTAGCGCCCGAACAGCCTGTGTCCGAACTTTCACCACACTGTACTACGTAATTATCCCACTGAAACACGCCAAGGCAGTTACTAAAACTGATGTACCACTCTGACAGTCCCAACTTTCCAGAAAGTTCGGACGCTAGGCTACGCGCCCTAATGGGTGGGGGTGGGGGAGGAATATCGCAATTCATGACAGATCACAGATGACAGGATGCTGAGAGACTGCTTTTGAGTCGACTCAAAAGTAGGTGGGGGTGGGGGAGGGATGTCGCAATTCATGACCGATCACAAATGGCAGGATGCTGAGAGACTTCCTGCCACTTAAATCTGACCTACGCAAGTGCTGACGATGGCAGGGGGGGGGGGGGGGGGGGGGGGGGTGTGGGGAGAACTGGGGTTGAACAGCACAACTGCCAGCTGAAGCCGTACTTACAATCTGAGCTACGCAGGTGCTGACGATGGCGAGAGCGGCCAGCACGGTTCCAACAAAATTGAGCTCCAGATCCGTGATCGTGGCGATGCCCACACCCAGCAGCAGCACGAGCAGGGACGCCTGCACTTGAACGCTGGAATAAGGACAGGAGAATACATGGGGAGCGGGATTAGTGCAGGATGGACGGGAACGGGGAGGAAGGACGATGAGAACGATTGAGCTCCAGATCCGTGATTGTGGCGATGCCCACACCCAGCATCAGCACGAGGAAGGACGCCTGCACTTGAACGCTAAAAAGACAGGGAAGCACAACGAGGTGGATGGGCGGAGAGAGAGGGTTGTGGAGGGTGGGGGGGGGGGGGGGGGGGGGGGAGGGGAAGGGGGGCTTAGACGGGAAGGGGGGGGGGGAAGGGGGGGAAGGTCCGGATGGGTATACAAAGGGAATGACATGGTTGCGAGCGCCTCGTTTCCTGATCCGAACAGCATGAATGATCCAACGCAAGCAACACAAATGGTCCCACGGGGACGACGAGGGTGTGGGTGAGAAACGCAACTCCAAAGGCAATGAGGCGGCATGGGTCAGAACAAGCAGAGGGTTGCAACAGTGGCAACGGTTGTAGCGGTGTCATACGTCCAAAGGAAGAGCGCGAGCTGGGATCATCATGATGCACGCACCTGAATCTCATTTTCAGGAATAGTGTTTGCAGGCAAACTGTGCACGGGATTATAGCGAGCTTGGTCATCTGCGGGGTAGATGGACGGAAGCAAGTGAATACGTGTTTTGAGTCGACTGACAATGCATCTTCAGGTATTTATTAACTGATTGCAGGCAAGGCGTGCACGGGATGATAGCGAGTTTTGTCATCTGCAAGGGGTGCGGAAGTTGATGACAACGCACTGAAACAGATGCGGCGATTGATCGTGCCTGAATGACTGGGAATGCTTCTGTCAGATGAAGGCTAGACGAATATTGTTCAGGTCTGCGCATACGAAGCTTCTCGCGATGCTGGTAGTGCGTATAGCGATACCGCATTATTGTACTTTTCTTTGCTGTAACATTGTGCCAGCTCCAAGTTCATCAGTGCCCTTTATCTGCTTCTTGATAAGCACGCGTGTGTGTGTGTACTGGGGGGAAGAGTATCGTTAGGAGATCGAGGTAGAAGATCTTACCTAGTAGACTCAGACTAAAATCGAAGCCCAGTGTCAAGACGAGGGGGCAAATTAACGCTTTTGGCTGACTCTAACGTCGTTACGGAGAGGAAAGACCTTACCTGGTAGAAACCGACGGAATTGAACCCCAATGTCAGGTTGAGCAGGCCAATGGACGCGCCATTGAGCAGCCCGAACCCGACCACGACCTTCGGGTCGAACGCCTTGTGCTCGAAGAAACCGATCGTCCGCGCGATGTGCAGCGATAGGAACGTTATCACCAAATGCCAGCTGGATAGCGTCGTGGCTGGTTGTTTGAGTGGAAAGATAAAGAGAGACGAGGAGGGACAAGGTATCCGGCATCAGAATGACTCGTCACAGCCGAGGATGACTTGGTAAAGAAAACGGCTGTGACAAGGAACTTTTCATTTTTTAGAATTCTAAAAAATGACCCCTCCACAGCCGACAATGCTGAATGTCGACGAAAAACGCGGAATGCGTACAGTACTGGGAGGTGTTGTTTGCTGAACAAGTAAGGAACGGACATGGTAAAGAAACGGTTTAATGGAAGTCCCAGGCTTACCGAAATTGAAGTGGAAGAGAGAGAGCAGCGCTTTATTGCAGATAACGATCGACACTGATGAGACCACTGACAGGGTCAGGGCCCCAATCGTCCCGATGTTCGACATCGCTGCACTCTTTTTGTCCCTGATCTGCCGTAATGTAGAAACGACCAGCTGCTAAATGTCAGATCTCTGACGCAACAATGATTTAAAGATCCCGACCACTCGAGGGGCGAAGCTACGCGGGAGACTGACTTCTTCCCTCAACGGTCTTGACCTCGACAACGATTCAGAAGCCACGATCTCCGTCGCTGGGAGATTTTCTGCTTCCCAGCTTGAAAACCAGCTGATCAAATGACCTACAGAAATCACCAGTGCTGCTCTCTTTTTCTCACTAGTTCACATAAAACTGAGCATCATCGGAAAACCAGAATCAAGGTTCTGCATCTGAGTGAGAGCCCAACAACCACTTCACCAGATGCCGTCCCTCCAGACCTCACCTCCTAACCTCGCCATAACGAGCAACGGCGAACCTGATGACGGCGACCCTTGAAAGCGGGTTACAGTCGGGTGCCAAAGCCGACGACAGGTCACACGAATGCCATGAAGGTGTGACACTAACGGAGGCTCTGCGAAGGACAATTTATCCAGACCACTCATTGCCGAGCCTAAATCATCGGTTTGAAAGTGGTTCGCTTCCACCAAACTTCGCTTGGAAATGAAATGCCACCTGAACGCCGCACAGCCGAATCGCAGGGTTGACACAGCTGCAGAAACAACAGAACACTGAACTTGGTTCGTCCAAGCCAGAGTCCTGGCGAACCTGGCGAAACCTGTTCCTGTAACACACATTTTAAAAGCGAGCCCTTAAAGGTCTAAACAAGCTTAGGGCAATTCCTGGAAGATTACTCTCCACCACGTTGCTCCTTATATACCAGAAAGGCGCTGTGGCCTAGTGCCCATTTCAGCTCGCAACAAGCTTGCCCGAATCAGCAGAGCATGTGTGTCTCGTTGAAAGTCGTTGCCTGCAGATAGTGCTCGTTGAAACGTTGCATTCCGCTGATCAGCATGGCGAGCGTACAGAATGCCCTTGTGAGAGTCGATGCGGGCCTGACATTGGAAGAAAAAATATGGATTGGGAAGAAAATAGGGAGGTGTTGGGCTGAGAAAGGCCCATTCACTGTACCACTCCCAACAGGAGCAAAGAATACATACAAGAAGAAACCAGTTGCTTTTTATAAGACACAGTTGCACCAAAACCCATCAAATTGTGAAAACAACCTACATCCACACCAGACTCATCCACGCACCTGCACTTGGTTATCCATTATAAGCGCAGCAAGCTCCTTCTCCAATGCCGCCACATTGGTATTGAAAGCCGAAGCCATCGTGCGCAGATCGACGGATATAAACGGAGTAGTGTACTGAATGAGTGCGCGCTGCCGAATCTGCTGGTACAGTGCTGCCACGTGGTCGTGCAGATGCAGGTCCAGCTCTAGAACGGGGCGGAGCTTGTCGAGATACTTGAGGCAAGATGCATAACGGCTGGTGGAGGGGAGAAGGGGGGTTGGTTGGAGAGAAAAAGGGGGGGAGAACAGGGGAAGCATGGTCGTGAAGGTGCAGGTCCAGCTCTAGCGCTGGCCGGAGATACTTGAGACACACGAGGCATAGCAGCTGGTGGAGAGGAAGAAGGGACAGGGCCAGGAGGAGACCTGGAGACGTGACAAGGAGCATAGAGTAGTGAAATTAAAATGGCTCATAATGAACGAATACTGTGAAACGAGACGAGTTCGAGTCGTCTAGTATAACCTCCGTAACAGACACAAACGCACAAGGCGTAGAAGTTGTACATGAGCTTCCTGACTCCTCCCACCAGCTTCCTGGCCTTTGGTCACGAGTAAACCCCTAAAAACAGAAACCGGCTCCGACCTCTGGCGATGAGCAACTAAGCCGTGTGTTATAAGTCCATTTTATAGTCGACGAAAAAAATATACTCATAACACATGAGTAACCGAACCCCTAAAAACGGAAACCGGCTCTGACCTCTGGCGATGAGCGACCAAGCCCCTAGAAAAGAAGAAACACAATAATAACGAGTGGCCCACCTGGCGTAGAAGTCGTATATGAGCTCCCTGACCTCTGGCACGAGCTTCCTGGCCTTTGGCTGCGATGATCCAATCCCCCCCTACAAACAAACCCCGCCCTGACTGTCGCCCTCAAAGCCACAAACCCACCTGGCGTAGAAGTCGTATATGAGCTCCCTGACCCCTGGCACGAGCTCAGCGCAGTTAGAGCGTGCTAGAAGGAAATATTGAAATCAAACACAGCAACATTGAGACCAAACGCAGGGGAGGGGACCCACCCACCTGGCATAGAAGTCGTATATTAGCTCCCTGACCTCTGGCACGAGCTCAAGGAAGTTGCGGAAGTTGACCGAGTCTATCAGCTTGCTCTGCATTCAGCAACAGGGAGAAAAACGTTTTCAAGAAATCAATCCGAGAACAAAAAGTTATGCAAATGGGAAGTCAGCTTCATTAAACCCAATGATGAGTCCGACACAATGTGAAGTCCCCCAAATAGCACACAACAGGGAAAGATGGCGCCGTTGTATACAGTGCTTTCTTCCTGTGGCCTTGAAACCACCATAAAGCAAATACTGCAAGTACCTTGAGTTCAGCGCGGTCGAAGGACGCAAGCGCACAGAGCCCCCCGTACACAGCCACGTCTTGAGGCGCGATCACCTCGGAGTAGCTGCTGCCCATGTCAAAGCTGGCGCCCACAAACTGAGGCACAGCAGCCCGCAGCAGGGCACGAGGGCATGAGGGCATGAGGGCATGAGGGCATGAGGGCATGAGGGCATGAGGGCATGAGGGCATGAGGGCATGAGGGCGTGAGGGCGTGAGGGGAGGGAGATGGGACAAGTGGATAGGGATACGTTTTGGGGCGCTATCCCCTCGGAATAGCTGCTGCCCATGTCAAAGCTGGCGCTCACGAACTGGGATGGAGACAGCAGAGGGACAGGGATGGGAAGGAGACAACAGGGTAAGAGGGGGAAAGACACAGATTCTGAAGCACTATCACCTCGGAGTAGCTGCTGCCCGTGTCAAAGCTGGCGCTCACGAACTGGCTGGGATGGGAATGGTGGGGACGGAGGGGCGGAAGCCGCAGATGGATTACAGGTGGGCTGCGGAGGCCTTATTTACGACACAAACTGCGATGGGAATGGTGGGGAAGGAGGGGCGGAAGAGGATGGGAGAGGGAGGAATGGCCTTGAGGCGCTACCATTTCGGAGTAGCGGCTGCCGCCCTGGCAGCCGCCTTGTACTTCCTCCCCTGCAGCCTCGCCAGCCCCCTCTGCCTTCTGCATGTTGTTGCTCTCCCACCTCGCGGCCTACCTTCCTGGCAGCCGCCTTGTACTTCCTCCCCTCCAAGCTCGCCAGCCCTCTCTCCCTTCTGTGCGTAGTTGCTCACGCTCACAAAGTGCCCCAGCTCCACTCGCTCTCCCACCTCGCGGCCTACCTTCCTGGCAGCCGCCTTGTACTTCCTCCCCTCCAAGCTCGCCAGCCCCGCGGCACACCTCAGCTTGGTCAGAACAACGGGGTCCATCATGCCCCTCTCTGCCTTGTGCACGTAGCTGCTCACGCTCACAAAGTGCCCCAGCTCCACGCTCGCCTCCCTTCACCCTACTTCACCTTCTTGTTTTCAACCCACCTTCCAGTTTTCAACCCACCTTCCAGTTTTCAACCCCACCTTCCAGTTTTCAACCCCACCTTCCAGTTTTCAACCCACCTTCCAGTTTTCAACCCACCTTCCAGTTTTCAACCCACCTTCCAGTTTTAAACCCCACCTTCCAGTCACCACCCCACCTTCCGGGCAGCGGCTTTGAACTTGCGTCCTTCTAGGCTCGCCAGCCCAGCAGCTGACCGCAGCTTGGCGAACACGATGGGGTCCGTCATGCCCCTCTCCGCCTTGTGCACGTAGCTGCTCACGCTCACAAAGTGCCCCAGCTCCACGCTCGCCTCCCTTCACCCTACTTCACCTTCTTGTTTTCAACCCACCTTCCAGTTTTCAACCCACCTTCCAGTCATCACCCCACCTTCCGGGCAGCGGCTTTGAACTTGCGTCCTTCTAGGCTCGCCAGCCCAGCAGCTGACTGCAGCTTGGCGAACACGATGGGGTCCGTCATGCCCCTCTCCGCCTTCTGCACGTAGCTGCTCACGCTCACAAAGTGCCCCAGCTCCACTCACTACTCCCCTTCCTCTCCCGGGCCTACCTTCCTAGCAGCGGCTTTGTACTTGCGTCCTTCTAGGCTCGCCAGCCCAGCAGCACTCCTGAGCTTGGCGAGCACGATGGGGTCCGTCATGCCCCTCTCCGCCTTCTGCACGTAGTTGCTCACGTTCACGAAATGCCCCAGCTCCACGCTCGCTACAATCACGTTCAAGCACATGGCGATGGTGTGCTTGCTGGTGATGCAGTAGTCGCGCGTGCGCACGTAGCAGCGGAACGCCTGCTGAAGGTCGCCTCTAGAGTAGAAGAAGTCGCCCAAGTCGTTGTACCCCATGCGGATGGACTCCTTTATCAGGTTCGTCTGTAGCGGGGATGGGGGGGGAGGGGTGGAGACCAGAAAGGAGGATGACAAAAGCGGTGATATTCTAACAAGAGAACTAAGTGTTGAAACTTTGCCGGACCGGACGTCAAGCACCTTGAACAAACATGATTTGAACACGACACTGTATGCATTTATGCATAACGACATACCTGACCAGTTGGCTCAACACTATAGCCTCCGGGTTCTGTAAACATTTGAGAATCTCTACATCCCTAGGGCATCCCTCCATACCTTGTACCCGTTTAAAGCATAACTCCATTTAGAGCGTCTCCTGTTTCAGCACCGCCCGTCGCTCCACAGCATCCACCCACTCCTTGTCAACCTCGTACTTCGGCCCTGGGCGAGTTTGAGACAACTCAGTCCTCTCCATACCTTATAGCCGTTTACCTCCATACCTTATAGCCGTTTACCTCCATACCTTATAGCCGTTGACCTCCATACCTTATGGCCGTTAACCTCCATACCTTATGGCCGTTGACCTCCATACCTTATAGCCGTTGACCTCCATACCTTATGGCCGTTGACCTCCATACCTTATGGCCGTTGACCTCCATTTCCAGCTTATCCTGCTTCTGCGCGCTCGTCGCTCGACCGCATCTACCCACTCCTGGTCCACCTCGTACTTCGGCCCTAGGCGAGTTTGAGACGATGCGTGAGGAGTCTATTTTTGAGGCGCCTCAAAAATAGACTCCTTACTTCGGCCCTAGGCGAGTTTGAGACGTTCCATACCTCTCTGGTTTTAAGGCGCCTCAATCAAAACTACACTCCTGGTCCACCTCGTACTTTGGCCCTAGGCGAGCTTGAGACGTTTCATACCTCTCTGTTGACGGCACGTCAAAAACCCGTTAACTGCATACCTTGTACCCGTTTAACTCCATTTCGAGTTTCTCCTGCTTCTGCGCCGCCCGTCGCTCCACCGCATCCACCCACTCCTGGTCCAGCTCGTACTTAGGCCCCAGGCGGCCCGCGATCTTCGCCACTACCTCCTTATAAGCCGCGCTGTTCTCCCCCCGTTTTAACTCATCCGCCGCCATTCGCAGCGCTTCCAGCTCCATCGCCGTCTGGCCAATCGCGGCGCAGCGCTCCGCAATGAATCGCAGCCGTACGATGCGCGTGTGGCCGGAATAATTCGCGGCGTACGACTCAAGATCCATTATCTGCTCCTCAACCGCCGCGCCCGCCGCGCCCGCCGCCGTCGCTGCGGCTGAGGCTGGTGATGACGAAGGGGTGCCGGCCGCGGGAACACCAACGGGAGGGGTATCGGAGCCAGACGCGCCGACAGGCTGGTTCTGACCCGGAGGGGGAGTGGATGGAGGCCCGGATTCGTTAGCAGCAGACGCCATGGCCCCTGGTCGGGACTCCGGGAGGGATAGCGTCTGGTCGGGAGGCCTGACGTCCCTAGAAAGAGAGCTTCTGATGCTTGGTAAACGCAACGGTGTGGATTCGATGGCGACAGTGCGCGAGGGACAAGCTCGATCAGAAGCTCGAGCCTCAATGTCAATTCAAACCGCAGGCGCTAGCGGATAGACTAGTGGTGTCATGACCGCATCTGAATAAAAGCTCACTGGTCAACTACCGCATTTCAGCGCACTGCAACTCACTGATACACCACGAATCCTCCTTGCAGCCTTCGTGACCTTGGTACAGTAAACCCCGCTACACCTTTTTATAATTAGACAAAAGGAGATCGATGACTACGATGGGCACGGCCAGTGCACCAAATGAAACCATCACATTGAAGGCGCTCTAAAATGTGGTAATGCAAAACCAAGATGCAACAATGTATGTCGTACCATCACAACAATTGAAGGTTGCCTAATCCAGAAAATAAAATTACCAACTATTGCATGATTGTATGTGCTGTGCTTTGAGCTCTATTTATTTTGTATGCACAAAATCCATCTCAGATCTATACGTTTCATTCTTAATGTAATGAACTCTGCGTACGGCTCTCGTCCCTGTGACGGGGATGACTCATCTATGCGAGCAGCCACCACATCAGTACCATCTCCCTCGAGATCACCAAATTCAGGATTGACTTAACGGTCACTGGCTGATGTCGACTGTTGTTTCGGCCTGCTGTCCTTCTTGCCTGCCACAACTAGACGAATTTGCGAGAGTGCTTTCCCCTTTCGATCAGCTTAGGAACGCGTTTGGCTGCGGAAAACATGCCGGCTTAGTGACACCGATGATGTAACCTGGAATATCTGGGCCATTTTAACTGGGACTGTTCTTGAACGGGACCCAGAATCTTCAGGAAAGGGAGCGGCAGTCAGCTAATAGGGGAGTTGGAGTAGGCAGGGAAAGTAGACCAGCAGGCAAACAGGGTCGCAGAACAGAATCTAAGACATGGACGCGGCTCATGCCGCAGAGACTCACGAGGTTGGTGGATCTTGAGTCTTGCTTGATTTCCTATCAGTAGATTCTCCTCCTCCTGTCGTCGATAGTGCGTTGTCCTACCATTGTGTCTCCAAAAGCCTTCGAAAATCTCAAGTCATTGTGAGCCGAGTGTTTCACTTCATAACTGTAAGCGTGCGCTCGTCCTGTATCATCCTGACCGTACACTGGTTCCGCTAAGAAATCAAAGCCGTCCACTTTGCCTGTGTGCAAACCAACAGGTTCTAGCGCATTTCCATGTAGACGAGAACACGGGCCTCTCGGACTCCCAGGTGGAGCAAAGTCGAAGCATCTACGGAAGAAACGGTGAGTGCTGGTCATTCCGTTCCCCTTATAAAACCACTGCTTACCGCCATTCGCTCTTTGCAGCTCTCTCTTCGTTCTCTGTTTCACCGCAAAAGCTTTCTCTGCCTCTTTGCTGATCGCTTCCTCCGACTGTTTTACTGACCGTTGTCCTGTATTGTGCGCACGTAGTGGGGTGATCGCAGCCTGGTGGGGGATTTGCTGTTTTTTAGTCGACTCAAAAGACGCTTCCTCTGTCTGTTTTACTGACCGTTGTCCTGTATTGTGTGCACGTGGTGGGGTGATCGCTGCATGGTGGGGGGTTGCTGTCTTCGATTCTGTCCTGTAGAGGCACCCAAGGAAGAAGGTGAGAACGCCTTGCTCGCCAAGCCCGTCGATATTGCATCATGCAGGACCCATGTGCCATGTTCAATGGTTGGCTATCCATGTTCAGTGTTCAGTGATTGGTGATCCATGTTCCGTATCCAGTGTTCCATGATCCCCCATTTCATGATCCATGGCGACTTTTGAGTCGACTCAAAAGATGACTTTGAGGTGACTTTTGAGTCGACTCAAAAGTCACCTAGTGATTGGTGATCCATGTTCCGTATCCAGTGTTCCATGATCCCCCATTTCATGATCCATGGCCCATCAGCTTTGCCCATAAATTAAGACACCTGATCGACCCATACTCCATGGCCTGTGGCCCACCAAGCCGCACATCTCCTGGTATAGCCTCCCCCCCCCCATCACCTCTTGCAACGATCATTACCATCACCACCATCTCCAACGTCACCATTACCATCAACCACCACCACCACCACCTTCATCCCAGGCACGCCCTTCTGGAAGCTCGTGCTGAAGCAGTTTGACGACCTGCTGGTCAAGATCCTCCTGGTCTCCGCTGTTGCCTCCTCTATGACATGTCATAACCACCACCACCACCCCACCACCTGTCACCACCACACCAGGCACGCCCTTCTGGAAGCTCGTGCTGAAGCAGTTTGACGACCTGCTGGTCAAGATCCTCCTGGTCTCCGCCGTTGTCTCCTTCCTCCTTGCACTCGCCAACGGGGAGAGCGGCTGGCATGCCTTTGTCGAGCCTGCTGTAAGCTCAGTGCTTTTGTTGAATCTTCTGTAAGCTCAATTATTTTCTTGAATCCGCTGTAGGCCCAAAGCTGCTTCAGCTAAAAGTTCCGCATCCCCTTCCTCCCCTTGTCCTCCTGTTTTGTGCCATGGTCTTTCTGTCTCCAAGCCGTTGGAGGTAATTCCGACGATGCTCATCGTGTTTCGAGGCGCCTTAAGACCCCCATCTCCCCTCCCCCTTTCCCCTCCGCCATCCTCCTCGCTGGTGCTGAGACCCTGTGTCTCCCTGCCACCCACAGGTGCTCATACTCGTTGCGAATGCCACGGTCGGAATCATCGCAGCAGCAACCTGCTCCCTTCTCGTCCTCCCTAACCCCTTCCTCATCGTTGGGTGATGATGTCTCTTATGTCTCCCTGCCGTTGCAGGTGATTCTGCTCATTCTCATCGCCAATGCCACGGTCGGAGTCGTCACAGAAACCAATGCAGAGAAAGCCCTGGAGGTGCGTGCTCCGTTAGTGCAGCAGGTTACTTGTAGAAGACCTGGTGCATCTCCAGTGCTTGCCATATGCCTTTCCAAAGCCAGATGACTTTTGAGTTGACTCAAAAGTCATCCCGTTAGTGCAGCAGGGTGCTTGTAGAGGGCCTGGTGCATCTCCAGTGCTTGCCATCCGCCTATCCAGAGCCTTCCTTGATTCTTTCCAAGGCGGCGGTCCCTGCTCCCTTCCAAAGCCCCGTTCATGCCTTTCCACCAGCCACTCAGTATGTGTGTGTTACTCATGACTAACTCTTGCAGGGTGTTTTTGAGAATTCTCAAAAACACCATTCAGTATGTGTGTGTTACCCATGACAAACTGTTGTTTCTTACCAGGAGTTGAAGGCGTATCAAGCTGATGTGGCCACGGTGCTGCGGAATGGTGAGTGAATGTTTGAGGGAGTGAGAGCGAGTGTGCATGAGATTGAGTGGGAGTGGGAGTGTGAGGGTGAGTGTGAGGGTGAGTGTGAGGGTGAGGGTGAGGGTGAGGGTGAGGGTGAGGGTGAGGGTGAGGGTGAGTGTGAGGGTGAGGGTGAGGGTGAGGGTGAGGGTGAGGATGAGGGTGAGGGTGAGGGTGAGGGTGAGGGTGAGGGTGAGGGTGAGGGTGAGTGTGAGGGTGAGGGTGAGGATGAGGGTGAGGGTGAGGGTGAGGGTGAGGGTGAGGGTGAGGGTGAGGGTGAGTGTGAGGGTGAGGGTGAGGGTGAGGGTGAGGGTGAGGGTGAGGGTGAGGGTGAGTGTGAGTGTGAGGGTGAGGGTGAGGGTGAGGGTGAGTGTGAGGGTGAGTGTGAGGGTGAGTGTGAGGGTGAGTGTGAGGGTGAGTGTGAGGGTGACAGGGGGTGAGTGTAAGTGAGGGTGCGAACTGGGCGTGAGTATGAGAGCAGATGACAGCGACTGTGGGCAGAGCTGTGAGCTAGTTGTTCAAGAGCAAGGTTGTGTTTTGTTTTTTAGAATTCTCAAAAGCATAGGTGATTTTTGAGTCGACTCAAAAATCACCTACGGATATTGTCACACGAGACATTCGAAGATCGGCGTGCTATTATCGCGTGGAAGCTTCCGAAGCGTACAGGGGATTTTTTAGTTTCAGCTAGAAAATGTTAGGTGTAGCTACACTTATTCGATTTTTTCTAGCCTAGGTTTCGAACTCCGAGAATTCCCTCGAGCCGCATTCTGGCCTTGGGATACTCGCGAGCTTCTGCCTATTTAGTCTTGCTCGTTTACTCTTTGTGTATGGTCTGATGAAGGCAGCCACCTGCCGAAACTAGTTACCATCAATTTTTGCCCTACGTTTTCAAGAGATTTTTCAGAGCAAGATTTTTTCTCTAAACAAAGTGTTCTACAAGCCCGCTGCCACGTATGGCTAAAACCACCACCAAGTGGTGTTCTCTCAGCGACTGTGGGCAGATGACAGCGACTGTGGGCAGATGACAGCGACTGTGGGCAGATGACAGTGACTGTGGGCAGATGACAGCAACTGTGGGCAGAGCTGTGAGCTAGTTGTTCAAGAGCAAGGTTGTGTTTTGTTTTTTAGAATTCTCAAAAGCATAGCATGAGGGTGCGAACTGGCCGTGATTGTGAGAGCAGATGACAGCGACTGTGAGCAGAGCTGTGCGCTAATCGCTCATAAGCAGATGCCCAAATGCATCCGGCTGATAGCCTTCTTGTCTAGAACCTTCCTGTTTCCCTTGACTGTCTACATTCTGCCAGTTCGCCTCCATATGCTGTATGTTACCTCCATCCATACCCATGCGCACGCAGGCAGACTGGCAATCATCCCAGCAGCAGAGCTGGTTCCGGGCGACATAGTTGAAGTGGCAGGTACGTGTTGCCATGGCAGGTGTGTCTGTTTTGTTTTGGTGTGTCATGGCTTGTGCATCTTTGTAGCTGATGGGCATATTTTCTTACCTTTTGCTTCGTTTGTTCCATGCCTGACTGACTCCTCTCTGCCGTCTCCCCCTCTGTGCGGGTGGCAGTGGGCGGCAAGGTGCCTGCGGATCTCAGAGTGCTCTCTCTCCTCAGCACACAGCTCAGAGCCGACCAGTCCATACTCACTGGTGAGTTTACTCCGCTGTTTCCTTGAGCACGTTCCCTACCAGCGCCTCTGTCTGGTGGCAGCGGGCAGCAAGTTGTCTGCAGTGCAGGCCTCAGAGTGCTCTCTCTGCTCAGCACGCAGCTCAGAGCGGACCAGTCCATCCTCACAGGTAAGTATCATTCACGGCGACCATTCAAGGCTCCCTCTTTTCAAGCCTCGTCCCAATCCAGCCTCACACTGGTTGTTGACTTCATCTGCCAATCTCCTTCCCGTTCGCGGCATGGCAATGGCAGGGGAGAGCGGGTCGGTGTCAAAGACAGCCAGGGCGACTCGGTCAGCTGTGGCGGTCTATCAAGACAAGACCTGCATCCTCTTCGCTGTACGCTCCCACTCCCTATCCTTGTCGTCCTCCTTTTTTCCCCCCCTTTTTCCTTCTTTGTCTCGTCTTTTTTCTCTCCTCTCGCATATCCGTTGTCGACTGCCCCCTCCCCTCGTGCACAGAGAGCAGCGTTCATAGTGGGCATTCAGTTTCCTTTTCCTCTCTCCCACCGCTCACAGCGCACAGTGGTGAGAGTGGGCACGGTGCGTGAGGAGTCTAGGCGCCTCAAAATTAGACTCCTCGTCAAGAGAACAGCGTTCATAGTGGGCATTCAGTCTCCTTTTCCTCTCCCAACGCTCACAGGGCACGGTGGTGACAGTGGGCAGGGTGGGGGCCATTGTGATTGCCCTCTCTAGAGCCCTGTGGTCACACGGCTGTCACTCTCTTCGTTTACCACGGGGAGAGGGGGGGAGGGGGGGGGCGCATTACTCCCTTTCCGTCTCCCACTCCTTCAGGGCACGGTGATGACGGTGGGCAGGGTGCAGTGCAGGCCCTCTCTAGAGCCCTGTGGCAACACAGCTGTCACTCTCTGTTTACCTTAGGGGGTGGGGGGCGTTATTCTCTTTCCCACACGCGCTCCTTCAGGGCACACTGGTGATTTTTGAGAATTCTCAAAAACACCCTCCCTCCTTCAGGCAACACTGGTGACAGTGGGCAGGGTGCGGGCCTGCTCTAGCACCCTGTGGTCACACAGCTGTCACTCTTTGTTAAACCATGGGGGGGGGGGGAAAACGTTATCCTCTTTCCCTCTCCCACTCCTTCAGGGCACAGTGCTGACAGTGGGCCGGGTGCGGGCCATTGTGATTGCCACAGGAGGGAGGACTGCCATCGGGAAGATCCGGGATGCCGTAGCACAGCAACCAGCTGAAGGTCTCTCCTCTCTTGCCTCTCTCCCGCTGCTCACAGGGCACGGTGGTGACAGTGGGCCGGGTGCGGGCCATTGTCATTGCCACGGGAGGGAGAACTGCCATTGGGAAGATCCGGGATGCTATATCCGAGTCAGCAGACGTGAGTGGCATATCGGAGTCAGCAGTCGTGAGAATATTGTGTTGATGATGATGTGATGCCGTGCAGTGCTGTAACGAGGGTGTCATGCCATGTGTGCCATACCCAAGCCAGCAGATGGGGTTGTGGTTTGACACACAGGGAGCACTTCCCTTCTCACTTGTGTTTCAGATGTTTGCTCTTGCGTGCTTCGTTAAACCATCTTTTTCAGGCGCCTAGAAAATATACCGTTTATCTGCCTTTCAGATGCAATTGAGGCGCCTCAAAAATATATCGTTTATCTGCCTTTCAGATGCTTTTGAGGCGCCTAAAAAATATATCGTTTATCTGCCTTTCAGATGCTTGCTCTTGCATGTGCTTCCTCGAACCACCAGCCGTTCCTTGCAGTGGTTTAGTTTTTTTGTCCCCCTCCCCACCCCTCCTCTCCCCCTCTCCCCCCTCTCTAAACTCACATTCCTCCCTCCCCACTGTTCAGGAAATGACGCCACTGAAGAAGAAGCTAGATGAGTTCGGCACCTTCCTCTCCAAGGTGCGTGCGGTGCGATGGTGTTTCAACTGGTGCAATGGTGTTTCAGCTGGTGCAATGGTGTTTCAGCTGGTGCAATGGTGTTTCAGCTGGTGCAATGGTGTTTCAGCTGGTGCAATGGTGTTTCAGCTGGTGCAATGGTGTTTCAACTGGTGCAATGGTGTTTCAACTGGTGCAATGGTGTTTCAGCTGGTGCAATGGTGTTTCAACTGGTGCAATGGTGTTGCAGCTGGTGCAATGGTGTTTCAGCTGGTGCAATGGTGTTTCAACTGGTGCAATGGTGTTTCAGCTGGTGCAATGGTGTTTCAGCTGGTGCAATGGTGTTTCAACTGGTGCAATGGTGTTTCAACTGGTGCAATGGTGTTTCAGCTGGTGCAATGGTGTTTCAGCTGGTGCAATGGTGTTGCAGCTGGTGCAATGGTGTTTCAACTGGTGCAATGGTGTTTCAGCTGGTGCAATGGTGTTGCAGCTGGTGCAATGGTGTTTCAACTGGTGCAATGGTGTTTCAGCTGGTGCAATGGTGTTTCAACTGGTGCAATGGTGTTTCAGCTGGTGCAATGGTGTTTCAGCTGGTGCTGCCACCGCATCCATCACATTCTGCCCATAAGCATTCTGATGCCCTGGTGCTTACCTGATAAACTCGCAACTTTTGCACATGCCAGGCTTCCTGCTGCCCACTGCATCTCTCATTCTAGTCGTTTGTGTCGCCACACTCTGCTGCTGGCAGTCGTTTATACCAGTGGCTAACCTCATGGCACCTCAAAGCAAATGGTTCTGAGCGTTGTCTCTTGAGGCGCCTCAAAGCAGCCCATTCTTTCAGTGTCGCCTCTCACCCTCCCTGTATGCATTGTGTGTATCGTCACGCTGGGCGGGTTATTTTAGGCACCTCAAAAATACACTTCTCGCCCTCGCTGTACGCATTGTGTATTGTCACGCTGGGCAGGCTATAGCTGTGGCCTGCATTCTCGTGTGGGTGATCAACATCAGAAACTTCCAGGATCCCGCACACGGTGGTGTGATCCGAGGCGCTATCTACTACTTCAAGGTCATCCCTCTCATCCCCCTCATCCCTCTCATCCCCCTCATCCCTCTCATCCCTCTCATCCCTCTCATCCCTCTCATCCCTCTCATCCCTCTCATCCGCTGCGGTGGTGTTTTGCATGCCTAACGGAAGGTGCCCTACACGGATCTTCAAGGCCTTCTGTTAGCCTTGGACATCTTTCTTGCCCCCCCTCCTCGCCCCCCTCCCTTCCTCCATCCTTTAACACAACTCGTTCCTGGTGCCATACGTTCTTCAAACCAATCTTATACCTTACCCATCTCCCCTTCCGTAGCCTTGAAGGGTCTGCTTTCCGAGAAGCATCAAGCACACCACCATATTCATCCCTTTCGTGACTGCGCATGCAAGAACTAGGCCTTCTCCTTGTCCCCTTGAGCTCCCTTCCTCTATCCCTCCTATCACTCTGCATTCCTCTCGTCTCCGCCTTTCCTTCTCTCTCGCCAATATCCCCCCTCCCCTTCCCTCCTCACATGCCAGATTGCTGTCGCCCTTGCTGTGGCCGCCATACCTGAAGGCCTGCCAGCTGTCGTCACCACGTGAGTCCACTGGATGCCACCCACATGAGTCCACGGGATGCCACCCACATGAGTCCACGGGATGCCACCCACATGAGTCCACGGGATGCCACCCACATGAGTCCACGGGATGCCACCCACATGAGTCCACGGGATGCCACCCACATGAGTTCACGGGATGCCACCCACATGAGTCCACGAGATGCCACCCACATGAGTCCACGAGATGCCACCCACATGAGTCCACGGGATGCAATGCCACCCACGCGAGTCTGCATGCATCCAAAGATGATGTCGACGTATGTGCACATTCGTCTAGAAGTTGCCAGCCATCCACGTCAGCCCACAAGCGTCCCACCATATTCACTCACGTAGGCTTGCACTTCTTCTTCTCCCATACTCCCCCACCCTCCTTCCCCTCTCGCCCTTCCTTCATCCTGGCTCATCCCCCCATTAGCTGTCTGGCCCTCGGCACGAAGAAGATGGCTCGCTTGAACGCCATAGTGCGCTCACTGCCCTCCGTGGAGACTCTTGGGTGCACCACTGTCATCTGCAGTGATAAGACAGGCACACTCACCACCAACATGATGTCTGTCAACAAGGTATGCGTGCTGTTACTAGCAGGTGTGTTGATGTGGTGATGTGCGCTGTGGGTTGGGCACATGTGATGCTGAGATGCCACCACTGTTATCTGCAGCAGGGATAAGAGGGGCACACTCACCACCAACATGCTGCCTGTCAACAAGGTGTGTGTGCTGCGTGTTGTGGCAGTGTGCATCTCCCTGTGTGTTCTACTACTAGCAGGAAATGAATGAAGTACTACTAGCCGTGCACCCTGCGTTGATGTATGCTGCTGGCTGGACATGCGCGTGTGCATGTGTAATGAATCTATTTTTGAATCAACTCTAAAATAGTCTCGTTACGCATGCGCGTGTGCATGTGCACGTGACGCTGAGATGGCACCACTGCAGCGATAAGGCGGGCGCGCTCACCACCAACGTGATGTCTGTCAACAAGGCATGCGTGCTGTGCACCCTACTGGTGTTTGCTCTGCGTTTGGCTGGCAATCATGCATCAATCACACCAGCTTCACAGAAGTGACTTTTGAGTCTACTAAAAAGTCAAAGTGTTGTGTGACATTGTTATGAAGTGACTTTTGAGTCGACTCAAAAGTCAATGTGTTGTGTGACATTGTAACGAGGTGACCTTTGAGTCAACTCAAAAGTCATCTCTGCGTTTGGCTGGCAATCATGTATCACTCATACCAGCTTCACAGAACCCCCTTGCTTCCGCCTCTCCTGCCAGTCTCCCGTTCCTCCGTCCTGTGTGTGTAGGTCAGAAACAGGCTCCCTTAAATTCTTTAAAGCCTATTTTATTTTAGAACTCTCGAAAATGACTCTTGTGTGTGTGCGTGTGTGTGTGTGTAGGCCAGAAACAGGCTCCCTTTCATTCTTAAAAAGGCTATTTTTGTTATAATTCTATAAAATGACTCCACTGTGTGCGTAGGCCAGAAACAGGCTCCCTTTCATTCCTAAAAACCCTCTTCTATTTTGCTCTCTTCCCCCTCCCTCTCCCCCCTTCCTCCTGCGTGCGTCAGTTCTGTGTATGTACGTCAGCAGCGGGCCCCTTGTGTGAGATGGACGTGTTTGGAACTGTGTGCGCCTGGCTCTGCTTTTAAGTCTACTCAAAGGCTTCCAAGTTCCCATCTCCCCTTCCCTGAACCCTGCGTGCGTCAGATCTGTGTGTGCACGTCAGCAGCAGGCCCCTTGTGCGAGCTGGACGTTTCTGGAACCACGTATGCCCCTGAGGGCACCATTACCCTCGGCCGATCCGTGGTGAGTCTGCTCAAAAGGTGTCTGGAGACTGGAACCACGTATCCGCCTGAGGGTTCCATTACCCTTTCTTGGGCGCTCTTCTTTGGTGAGTGCTGTGCTGTGATGAGTTGTGAATCAACTCTAAATTCACCAGGAAGTGTCTGAACCACCCACATATGCTTTGAGGCGCCTCAAAACTAGTGTCTGAATCACCCACATATGCTTTGAGGCGCCTCAAAACTAGTGTCTGAATCACCCACATATGCTTTGAGGCGCCTCAAAACTAGTGTCTGAATCACCCACATATGCTTTGAGGCGCCTCAAAACTAGTGTCTGAATCACCCACGTATGCTTTGAGGCGCCTCAAAACTAGTGTCTGAATCACCCACATATGCTTTGAGGCGCCTCAAAACTAGTGTCTGAATCACCCACATATGCTTTGAGGCGCCTCAAAACTAGTGTCTGAATCACCCACATATGCTTTGCACCTGAAGCCTGAAGGTTCCATAACCCTCTCCCCCCACCCCTCTCCCTTTCACAATTGATCATTCTTCAGTCACCTCCTGTCTTCACTTGAATAACCCTCTCCTCCTGCCCCCCACCCCCCCCCCTTCGCCAGGTGGAGAGACCAGAAGACATGTCATCAGTGCAGCACGTGGCCATATGTGCGTCCATGTGCAACGACTTCACCCTCCAGTGCAACGCCACCCCACCCCATGCTTTCTCCAGTTGAATTCGCCTCTTCCCCCCGTCCCCCCCCTCTCTCCCCCCCTTTCCTCTCTCCCTCTCCTCTTGCCAGGTGGAGCGGCCAGCAGACATGCCGTCAGTGCAGCACGTGGCCATGTGTGCGTCCATATACAACTACTCCACCCTCCAGGACAACGTCACCCCATGCTTGCGTGAGTTGAAGACACGTCCCTTCCCCCCCCCCTATTCCCTCCCCTCCCACTAGGTGGAGCGGCCAGCAGACATGCCGTCGGTGCAGCACGTGGCCATGTGTGCGTCCATGTGCAACGACTCCACCCTCCAGTACAACGCCACCACCGACACCTACGACCGCATTGGCGAGGCCACTGAGGTGGCCCTCCGGGTGCTCACCGAGAAGGTGGGAGCTGAATTTGGGGGCCCAAGGGGGGGGGTGGGGGGGGGGGTTGAGAGGATGGTCCTGGACGAGTGTAAACGCTGGGGAACGTGAGAGCGTACGAGTGTGAGAGTCACTGACACCCACGACCGCACATAGGGGAGGCCACTGAGGTGGCCCTGTGAGAAAGTGGGAGCTGAATGGGGGAGTGCTAGCCTAGGAGGGCAACCTCAGTTGCCCTCCTAGGAAGTGACAGGCCGAAGCTCAAGTGGGAGTGATAGCCTAGCAAGTGCGAGCCCCTGACATGACACCACAACCGCTTTGGAGAGGCCAGAGAAGCAGCTCTCATGGTGCTCACAAGAAGGTGGGAACTGAATGTGGAGTGTGGGGTGGGTTGGTCCTCGACAGGGTGAAAGCCTAGAAGGTGAGTGCCACTGACACCCGTGACCGAACTGGGGGGGCACTGAGGGTGCGCACTCAGAAAGTGGGTGTGCTAGGGGGGGGGGGGGGGGGTTTATGGGGCTTCCGTGCTTTGCGTGTCTCCGTGTGCTTTGTGCTTTCCTGTGTTCATGATGGCTGCTGTTCTTTCTTGTGTATGTGTGTGTGTGCGCGCGCGCGCGCGTGTGTGTGTGTGTGTGTGTGTGTGTGTGTGTGTGTGTGTGTGTGTGTGTGTGTGTGTGTGTGTGTGTGCACGTGCATGTGTGTGTGTGTGTGCGCGCGCGCGCATGTGTGTGTGTGTGCACGCGTGCGCGCACGCACGCGCATGTGTGTTTGTGGCTGCGCGCGTGCGTGCATGTGTGTGTGTGGCTGTGTGTATATGCGTCTGGTTACCAGCACAGATCGGGTTACCTGGTTATTCTGACATGCCCACATCCCTCGGGCTCCTGAGCAAGGCAGAGAGAGCGTCGTTCTGCAACAACCACTGGCACGACACCTTCCACAAGGTCCGTCCCTCCTGTGCTTCTCAACCATCCAAAAGGTCAGTGCTTCCTCTCTTTCTCAAATAGTCTCTCCCAAGTTTCTCACCGTGTTTGATCGGACCGGCAAAAGTGGAACCGAGTCATTAACCCATGGATCAGCACCTTCTATGACGATGGCGAATGGGCGATGACAGTGCGGTGGCGGAACATCAACTTCCTGCCATGTACATATTTCATGCCCTTTCATATTTCATCCTTCCCTCTCTCCACCTCTCCTCTCCCCCTCTTCCCCTCTCCCCCTCGCGAGTCTGGAGTTCTCAAGGGACTGAAAGCTGATGAGGGTGCTGTGCACAGAGGGATAGTAAATCATCCCTATGTCCCTCACGCCCTCCGTTGCTCCTTTCTTCCCTTCCGCTGCCCCTCACTTCACTCCTGTCTGTGCTCCCAGCTGGCGAGTCTGGAGTTCTCAAGGGACCGAAAACTGATGAGTGTGCTGTGCACTAGAGGCGAAGAGGAGGTGAGCATGTGGGGGGGTGAGAGGAGAGGAGTAGGGGGGAAGAGGGGTGGGTGATTGTTGGGGGGTGCGTGTTACAAGCTGACGAGTTTGTTGTCCACTAGAGGCGAGGAGGAGGTGATTGTGTGTGCAGGGAGGGGAGAGGGGTGGTTGAGTGTTGGAGAGTGTGTGTCCCAAGATGATGAGTGTGCTGTGCACTAGAGGCAAGGAGGAGGTGGGCGTGTGGAGAGGGTGGGGGAGGGGGTGACTGTTGAGACGTGCACGTGGCAAGCTGACGAGTGTGCTGTGCACTAGGGGCGAGGAGGAGGTGAGTGGGGAGCAAGGGATTCCCATGCACATCCCAAACCCTCTCAAACCCTCGTCTGCAAGGGAGCGCCCGGAGCTATCCCCAGTCACTTTTTCCTTGCATTCGTCCCCCCTACCCCTGACTCCGAATGCACGAACTAGATAACCTTCTGCAGGGAAACGCCAGAGCCCATCCCTCCTTCCCTTTTCCTTTTCCTATATGTCCCTGCTGTCGCTTACTCCCCACCTTTCCACCCAACACACCAGACCTGCTTTTGAGGAGCGTCAAAACGCTGTCCCCTGACACCCTACTTCCGTACCCAACACTCCAGATTCTCTTCTGCAAGGGAGCACCGGAGGCTGTGCTGTCGCGCAGCAGCAGAGTGCTGAGCAACAGCGATGGCGCTGTTGCTGCCCTGACGCCAGAGCTCAAGGCGGCAATTGAGGAGAGAGTGTGCAGGTGGGTGTGCTGGTCTTAAGGCACTTCAAGAGAGTATGTATCGTCTCGCAGCAGCAGGGTGGTGTGCAAAGATGATGGCGCTGTTGCTGCCCTGACGCCTGAGCTGAAGGCGGCAATCAAGGAGAGAGTGTTCAGGTGAGTGTGCTGGCATTGGGGCGCCGCAAGAGAGTATGTATCATCTCGCAGCAGCAGGGTGGGCAACGATGATGGCGCTGTTGCTGCCCTGACGCCAAAGCTCAAGGCGGCAATTGAAGAGAGAGTGCTCGGGTGAGTGTGCTGCCCTTGAGGCGCCTCAGAGGAAAATGCTACTCTATAGAGACTGTGCAAGTCTAGGGTTTATGCCAAGGTTTAGGGTTTGCATGTGAGATTAAGTATCTTCCCATCCAAAAAATGTGTGCATTATGCTCTCCAAATCTCGGAACAACCCTTCAAATCCTCCCTCCCCCCCCCCCCCCCGGCTCCCCGCCACCCTCCTTGTCCCTCCTCCAGTCCCCATATCCCTCCATACCCCTCTTTACCCCTCTTAATCCGACCAGCTGCGGCCAGCACCAGATGCTGCACTGTCTGTCCTCGACATGCAGGCTCTGCCCTCTTTTCTCTCCCTCCCCCCATATCGCTTCTCTCCCCCATATCCCCATTTCCACCAGCCATGGCCAGCACCAGATGCTACGCTGCCTTGCTCTTGCCATGCGGCCTCCTCCTCGGGTATGAGGCACTTTAAAAAGGGATTCCTCTTTGTTTCCCCTCAACACCCCCCCCCCTCTCTCCAGCAGCTACACTGCTACAGCCAGCACGCGTACAGGGTTCATTTTCAAACTTGGCCCTCGCCATGCGGCCTCTGACCACTTCCCTCTCTCTTTCTCCCATGCCCCTCCTCCTCCCCCCCATGTCCCCCATACCCATCAGCTACAGCCGGCACCAGATGCTGCGCTGCCTGGCCCTCGCCATGCGGCCTCTGCCTGGGGGGCAGCAGAAGAAAGGCAAATCCTTTTCTCCGCCCCTCCCCCACTTCGTTCCCCCTCCAGTTACGGCCGGCACCAGATGCTGCGCTGCCTTGCTCTTGCCATGCGGCCCCTGCCTCAGGGGCAGCAGACCATCACTCCAGACGATGAGGCAGACCTCACCTTCCTCGGACTGGTAAGTATGTGGTAATGTCTGGTTTAACACACGTCTCTCCGGCCCCACCTTCCTTGGACTGGTAGCCAGCAAGTGGTAACCATAGAGGGGTAGCGTCAACTGTAGCGTTCCAGGGGGCAGCAGACTCTCACTCCAGACGATGAGGCAGACCTTCCTCGGACTGGTAACCAGCAAGTGGTAACATGTTGTGGGTACCATGTTGTGGTAGTAACCATCACCTTCCCTGGGCTTCCTTGCTGCATGGCTAATTTTTCCTTGCGAGTCTTACTCACCATGTACACCCCGCAGTCAGAGAGGACTGTGGTCGGGCCAATGCCATTCTTCCTAGTCTCAGGTGGCTTACCTATCTCTTCCCATCGCATCGCATGGCATTGCATGGCGTGGCGTGGCGTGGCATGGTGTGGCATGGTGTGGCATGGTGTGGCATGGCACGGCATGTCGTGGCGTGGCATGGCGTGGGCGTGGCATGGCGTGGCATGGCATGTGTGGCAGGTGGGTATGCTGGACCCGCCTCGAGAGGAAGTGAGAGCAGCAGTGGAGACGTGCCGGTCAGCAGGCATCCGCATCATTGTCGTCACGGGCGACAACAAGGCAACAGCGGAGTCAGTCTGTCGCCGAATAGGCCTTCTCAGCCCTCTCTCCTCTGACGCCCTTATCAACATCGACCCTTCCTCCCCCTCCTCCCTCGCCTCCCCCTCCTCCCCTTCCCCCCCCTCCTCTCCCACCGCTGCTCTGCTGAAAGGAGGTGCGAGTGCAGAAGCTGGGGGCGGCACAGGGGGAGCGGGAGGGGGGAGCGGGGAGGGGGGGTATGCGTCGTTGACGGCGTCTGAGTTTGAGCAGCTGTCACCATCGCAAAAAGCTTCTGCCATTCAACAACTCGTCCTCTTTTGCAGGTGACTCGTTAGAAGCCTGCATTCTGCTGTTCACGTGCACGTTAGGATGTGTTCTGTTTTTTAGAATTCTCAAGAACAGAACACATTCAGGAAAAGTAGGGAGATGATGCACTGTGGTCTATCCGTGGACTGCTTCTGAGTTTAGGATGAAGGAAGTAGCTTAGAGGAGAAATGATTGAATTGAGTAGGGAGCCAAGAGGCTCTATTGTACAAAACAAGGAGCAAGGAAGAGTTGGAAGAGAAGCTCTCCTATTGGCCATAAAGTGTAGCGATGGGAGAGGTTGCTTGTAGGGCAAGCAACCACAAAGTGTGGTGCTCTTCGATTGGCCACAATGTGGACCAATGGGAGAGGTTGCTTGAAAGGCAAGCAACCACAAAGGGTGGTGCTTGGTGATTGGTTGGTTCTTAGGACCAAGGACCATTTGGTTGGAATAGTGCCAACCAAATGTCTAAGATCAAATCCAATCTTGACCAACCCAAATGTGGGGTTGGTCAACCCAACCAACAACCCCCCAATAATTATAATGACTACACCTCCTAATCTAGGCATGCATGTTGTATAGATATATATTTTACAACATAGGAAGCTGCCATTACCACATTCCCCCACACGCTTGCTCTGTCTTCCTCTTTCTATTGGGCCACATCCAATCCAACCAGGCTTAAACCCTGAACCCTGAACACAGGCAAATGGGCACCCATCCAACCACCCAGCTAGACACTCTCTCAACTCAACACTCACCCAGATTCATCCCGCCCCTGCTCTTCTCCTGCGAGTGGAGCCCAGCCACAAGTCCATGATGCTGGTGGACCATGGCTTGTCTGGGTGGTGGAATATCCTATGAGTTGACTCGACCCTACCCTCTCATGCTGTCTCATCGAATCGTGAGGAGTCTATTTTTGAGGCGCCTCAAAAGTAGACCCTCTCACGCTGGCTCATCCAATCCAACCCTCCATTCTTCCTTCCCCGCAGAGTGCAGCCCAGCCGCAAGTCAATGTAGGTGTCTATCCTTTGACTCGACTCATTCCGTCCCTCTCACGCTGTCGTCATATCCAACCCTCCCTTCCTTCCTCGTTCTTTCCCCACAGAGTGGAGCCCAGCCACAAGTCGATGCTGGTGGATTATCTCAAACGCCAAAACGATGTGGTGAGCGAGTGAGCTACCTTTTGTGCTTAAACTTACCTGCCTCCTGCTTCCCAACTTGCACTAGAACCTCTCGGCCTGCTACTCCTTTCCCACCTCGTTCACCCTCTCTGTCTCCCTGTGCCCATTTTCTGACAATTCCCTTGTTCGTTCCTCATGTAAGTAACAGTTGGCAGGGCCAAGCTGTGACAGTTAGCAGGTTTTTCTCCCTCATCACTTGTGGCAATTCCCTTGTCCTGTTGCTCCCTTGCCCCCTTTCATTCACGTTCCTAATCCCCTGTCTGCCTACCTCCCATGCCCCTCACTGCAGGTGGCAATGACGGGCGATGGGGTGAATGATGCACCAGCGCTCAAGAAGGCAGACATCGGGATAGCCATGGGGTCTGGCACGGCCGTTGCCAAGGTGATTGACGGGATGAGTGCGATGTGTGATGTGTGCATCTGGGTGGCGGGGATTCGGGGTGTTTTGGATTGGTCGGGTAAAGTTTGTGGTTAGCGTGATGGTTATGGTTGTATGTGAGGAGAGGGGAGGGGATTATGGTTATGGTTGTATGGTAGTTTCGAAGGAATCAGGAATTGGCATACAAGGAGTTGGGCGCAATGACATAGCAGTTCGTTTTATGCACAATGAGGTGACCCAACATTGTGTGGGCGTGCCTGCCGTTCTTCCCACTGCTTCCTCAACCCTCTCTTCACATCCCCGCCTCCCTCTCACTCACCCCCCCTTCTCACTCCTCTCTCATCTTCCCACTCCCCTCCCTGGGACGCAGGGAGCATCCGACATGGTGCTCGCAGACGACAACTTTTCCACCATTGTTGCGGTACGACCCCTATCTGTCCCTGCTCCTCTTCAGTCATCACATTCCAGTTTTGAGGCGCCTCGTTTTGAGGCGCCTCGTTTTGAGGCGCCTCAAAACTAAACTAGACGACAACTTCTCCTCACATTCCGGTGTCCCCACCATTGCGGCGGGGCGGTATGGTAGACGCATGCTTGCATGTTTACAGCAACCACGCCGGCTATGTCACCACACCTGCCATGTCACCACACTTGCCATGTCGCCACGCCTGCCTTGCTACTACCACCCCATTCCCTCCCTCCCATTCGCTCCCTCCCATTCCCTCCCTTTCGCTCCCTCCCATTCCCTCCCTCCCATTCCCATCCCTCCCAGGCCATGGCGGGGGTCGTGCCATCTACAACAACATGAAGGCGCTCATCCGCTACATGGTCTCTTTAGCCAATCTTAAGACACTACCGTCCTATCCCCCCTGCCATGTTGCACTGCCCTCCTGCCCCTCCCCCTCCCAGGCCGTGGGGGAGGGTCGTGCCATCTACAACAACATGAAGGCGCTCATCCGCTACATGGTGTCAACAGCCTATCAGAGGACACCCTTCCCTCCCTCCTCCCATTTCTCGCACTCCCTACCATTGCCCTCAATCCCTTCAGGCCGTGGCGGAGGGTCGTGCCATCTACAACAACATGAAGGCGTTTATCCGCTACATGGTGTCGTCCAACATTGGGGAGGTGGTTGCCATCTTCCTCGCAGCAGCAGTGGGCATGCCAGAGACGCTCATCCCCGTGCAGCTGCTGTGGGTGAACCTCGTCACTGATGGGTTACCCGCAACTGCTCTTGGATTCAACAAGCAAGACAGAGACGTCATGAGCATTCGGCCCAGGAAGGTACGCATAAGGCAGTGTGGCGGCAGCAGTGGGCATGCCAGCGACGCTCATCCCCGTGCAGCTGCTGTGGGCCAACCTCGTCACGGACGGTTTACCTGCCACTGCCCTTGGGTTCAATAAGCAGGACCGAGACGTTATGAGCATTCGGCCCACGAAGGTGTGTCTGAGGACGGGTGACTAGCAGGTTTCATAATGCAGAGTGTGGCAGCAGCAGTGGGCAGGCCAGAGACACTCATCCCCGTGCACAGCTGCCGTGGCCCTAGTGAACCTGGTGACTAATGGTGTGTAATAAGTCGATTTTTTAGTCGACTAAAAAATCAACTTATTATACCTGGTGAACCTGGTGACTGATGGCCTGCCTGCCACTGCTCTGGGATTCAACAAGCAGGACAGAGACGTCATGAGAATTCGGCCGAGGAAGGTGTGTCTGAGGCCGTATGAGTCTGAATAACAGACAGTGTGGCAGCAGTGGGCGTGCTGGTGACGCTCTCACCCCCGTGCAGCTGCTGTTGGTGAACCCTGATTGATTTTTTCCTTGCCACTGCTCTGGGACTCAACAAGCAGGACAGAGACGTCATGAGCATTCGGCCCAGAAAGGTACGCATAAGGTTGAGTCATAAGGGTGGCAGCAGTGGGCATGCCGGGAATGCTAATACCCGTGCAGCTGCTGTGGGTGAACCTAGTGATGGTTGTTTTTCCTGCCACTGCCTTGGGATTCAACAAGCAAGACCGAGACGTCATGAGTGAGCACCGTCGCCTTGCTCCATTCTACGCTTTGCATTGATGTGGGTGGATCAGGCTGCCATGCCACGCTTTGCATGTATGTGGGTGGATCAGGCTGCCATGCCAACACATAACATGTTTTGAGGCGCCTCAAAACTATGTATGTGGATCAGGCTGCCATGCCAACACATAACATGCGTGTGCACATGGCTCCCTGTGTGTATGTGCCACATGGCTGTGTGCGTGTGCAAATTCATGCATATACATGCGTATCCATGTGTATGTGTATGTGTGTATGGGTATGCGTATGCGTATGGGTATGCGTATGCGTATGCGTATGCATATGCGTATGCGTATGCGTATGCGTATGTGTATGCGTATGTGTATGCATGTGTATGTGTATGTGTATGCGTATGTGTATGCATGTGTATGTGTATGTGTATGCGTATGCGTATGCGTATGCGTATGCGTATGCGTATGCGTATGCGTATGCGTATGCGTATGTGTATGCGTATGTGTATGTGTATGTGTATGCGTATGTGTATGCATGTGTATGTGTATGTGTATGTGTATGCGTATGTGTATGCATGTGTATGTGTATGTGTATGTGTATGTGTATGCGTATGTGTATGCATGTGTATGTGTATGTGTATGCGTATGCGTATGCGTATGCGTATGCGTATGCGTATGCGTATGTGTATGTGTATGTGTATGTGTATGCGTATGTGTATGCATGTGTATGTGTATGTGTATGTGTATGCGTATGTGTATGCATGTGTATGTGTATGTGTATGTGTATGTGTATGTGTATGCGTATGTGTATGCATGTGTATGTGTATGTGTATGCGTATGTGTATGCATGTGTATGTGTATGTGTATGCGTATGTGGATGTGTTTGTGTGTGTGCGCATTTGTGCGTGCTTGCGGAGGCTGGGTGCTTTCATTAGCATGTATGGATGTGTATGGGCTTTGGCGCACATGCATTCGCATGACATCATGTGCCTGTGTATGCGCACATGCGCGGTTTTTATTCCATGTGCCTGTTTGTGCGCAAGTGCATGTTATGTGTTCTATGTGCCTGTGCATGTGCACATGCATGTTTATGATTCTATGTGTCTGTGTGTGCGCGCACATGCATGCATGTTTATGATTCTATATGCCTGTGTGTGCGCACATGCATGTTCTGTATTCTATGTGCCTGTGTGTCCGTATGTGCCTGTATTACGCCATGGCCAGATGGAGGATGCAATTGTCAACGGGTGGCTTTTCTTCCGCTACCTAGTCATCGGAAGTAAGTGTAATCCTTGGTGATTGGCGCGCGTCTCATGTTCCCTTTCCCATAACAGCAGCTTGTCCTGTTAACCATCCGGTGTTAATAAACCGTACCATTACTCGTCTTAAATCTCTCTGAATCGTCTTTTTCTTTCTGGACCCTCAATCTCCCTCTCACATCCCTCCTCCCTTCTCCCAGCATTTGTGGGCCTTGTCACTGTGGCCACCTTTGTGTGGTGGTAAAAGTGCTTTGCTAGTGGCCTCTAAGACAACTCCGTTTTCCACTTCCTCTTCCCCATTCCCCCCCATTCCCCCCATTCCCTACTCCCAGTCTACGTCGGGCTGGTCACTGTCGCTGCTTTTGTGTGGTGGTACATGATATTTGCCGATGGCCCCAAAATCACCTGGACGCAGCTGGTACGTCAAAACCCCATGTCTTTCCCGAATCCCCCTTTCCCCTTCCCTGTGTGAATGGGCCTCCCAGTCCTTGTTCCCCTTTCCTCTGCCCCTATTCCGTCTGCTCCTCTCCTCCACTTTGTATTTTCTATTCTCCACTTTCCTGTTGCTCCCCTCCTCTCCTCCTCTCCTCCTCTCATCATCTCTTCAGCATCACCTTCAACTCTTCTCTCCTCTAATCTCGTCTCTTAAAGCCCCCCTCTCCTTTTCCAACACTTTCCTCTATCCCATGCCATCCCCCTCTTCCCCTTCACCCTCTTTCCCTCCATCTGCACAGGTCACATTTGACACGTGTGTGGACGCGTCTGGCCGCCCCTGCCCTGTGTTTCTCGACTCCTGTGGCTATGTCAGCGCTCGTGTTGGTGCCTGCTTCACATGCCTCTCCCCTTTCACCCTCTCTCCCTCCATTCGCACAGGTCACATTTGACACCTGTGTGGACACGTCTCGCCACCCCTGTCTGGTCCTTCTGGACCCATGCCCTCACACCGTGGCCATGTCAGTGCTCGTGGTGGTGCTTGCCTGCTTCACATGCCCCCCCCCCCCCCCTCTCCCCCCTCCCCTTCCCCCCCCCCGTTTCCCCCCCACTCCATCAGGTCACATTTGACACGTGTGTGGACGCGTCTGGCCGCCCCTGCCCTGTGTTTCTCGACCCCCGCCCTCGCACTGTGGCCATGTCGGTGCTGGTGGTGGTGGAGATGTTCAACGCCCTCAACAACCTTTCCGAGAACCAGAGCCTGCTGTGAGCATGAATTTCGGGGAATGCTGCTGCGTGCCTCCTCCCACTCACCATCGCACTATGGATGTCAGTGTTCCTTCCGTCACTCCCCCCTGCACCGCTCCCCCTCCCTTACCACACCACTCCCCCCTTCCCACCTAACCCCTGCAGCTTCCTTCCCCCCTGGTCCAACCTCTGGCTGCTTGCAGCAATCGCTCTCTCCATGTTCCCCCACTTCTGCTCATTATGCGCCATTTTATTCTTCTTACCACATGCACTGTCCCCCATTCCCTTTTTTTACTACCCCCCCCCTCCCCCTCTCCAACTCCCCATCCTACAGCGTCCTCCCTCCGTGGTCTAACATCTGGCTGCTGGCAGCCATCGCTCTCTCCATGATCCTCCACTTCCTCATTCTCTACGTCCCTGCCCTCGCCGTGCTCTTCTCTGTGAGTGACTTAACTCGGCGAAAAAGCCACTGCCTCATTTGTATGCCCTCGTGCCCTTGCCGCCCTCTTCTCTGTGAGTGCTCTGAGTCGGCTCAGGACCTCCCCATTCACTCTTTATTTTTATTTTTATTCTTCTAGTATCAAGCCACCCCTCCACTTCCTCTATGTCCCTGCCCTCACCATCCTCTTTTCCATGAGTCACTCTCACCACCCTCTTCGCCGCCTTTTCCTTTATTTATCACTCGGCCTCCCTTTCTCTTTTATTGACTAGAGCTTTGATTCCCTGCGAGACAGTGGAATCAGCTTCCCTACGGCTCCTCACTGCAGCTCATTTGCCCAACCGTCATCTCCCTTTTTTTTTCCTTTTTTTTTTTCTCCTTTTTTCTTCTTTGTCTCTTTTCTTCAACCTGCCCTCTCGCTGTCTCACTGTTCATAATTCATTCCACTCGTCTCTCTTCCCTCCACCTCTCTTCTCTCCTCCCTCTTTCGCATATGGCAGGTCGGCCCCCTCTCCTGGCCGGAATGGCGCGCAGTGCTGCTCTTCTCCTTCCCGGTGCGCCACCTTCCAACTCTCCAGCCCCCCTCCTCTTCCTCTCCTTCTGTCCCTCGTCCCAAGACCCACTTCGCATCCCTTTACTCCCTCTCGGCCCCCTCTCCTGGCCTGAATGGTGCGCTGCGCTTTCCCTGTACACCACCCTCCCACCTTTCCTCTCTCCTCTCCTCTCTCGTTTCCTCGCTCCTCTCCTCCAGCCCTCCGCTCCTCTCAAGTTCTTCTCTTGTTTCATCGGACCCCTTCCATAGATCTCAAGTTCTCCTCTCCTCCCCTTCCATAGATCTCAAGTTCTCCTCCCCTCCCCTTCCATAGATCTCAAGTTCTCCTCTCCTCCCCTTCCATAGATCTCAGCACCCTCGAATTCGCATTCGGATCCCGGTTTTGTCAGGCTAGATCAACCACATCGCCATAGCGCCATCAACAATGGCGTGGCACTTGAATGGTGTTATGACTTCGACAGCTCATCGGTTGATTTGACTGTTTCATTTCATGTCACACCCTGTCCCATGTCAGGTCATCATCGTGGATGAGATTCTCAAGATATTTTCAAGAAATATGTCAGGTGAGCCTTCGAGTATCAAATGAGATGTCAAAGTATTGAATGAGATGTCAAAGTATCAAATGAGATAAGTATAAAATGAGATGACAAGTATCACGAAGAACACAGGAGGCCCCTCAACGTATAGCACAATGTTCCAGCATGCACGCTGTGAAAACGTGCAGTTTTAACGAATAGGGTAGTAGTCACGCAGTCAACGATGCACAAGTCTCTCAATTTCAACTGCTTGACATAATACTGTCCAGTGCTTCACATCTGCGTCTGAGTCGACTCAACAGCTGTTTCCAGTGCTTCACATCCCCGAAGCCTGCAGGGTAGTAGAACGTGCACGTTTGGATGAACCCAAGTTACCAACACTCACTCACCTTCTTCTTCTCCCTCCTGTTGGCCTATGTATGTATCAGCTCGCCCCACCAAGGCGAAGGCCCGGCAGCAGCAGTGGTCCCTGCTGCCGTTCAAGCGGCCAAAGGAAGACTCGGGCGAGAACCACACAGCCTAATTTGCATTTCTTTTCTTTTGGTGCTACAGTTTCCGTTCAATGTGGTTGCTTGTTAATGTCTCGCATGGTATGAAATCAGGTAGCCATTGGAGATGCTGTCTCTCCACAATGCTTTGTGGTCGCTGATGATTATAGTGTTAAAATTATATAAGTTATAATTTAATATAGGCTTGGTAGGTTGTTACTGAACCTTTCTGTAGGGGGTACAAACCCCTCCTTGTACTCCCCTCTCTTCCTAATCCAACCACCTTTCTTCTCGACATTCCCTCCTGTTGGAAATATCTCAAAGAACTTAAGCGTTTCTGAAGTATAACACTACACTCGAGGAAGACTACAAGGGAGCACGCGAGTCAACGGAGGTTACACGAGGGGGCGGACAAAGAATGCGAAAGGTCGCAACTGGAGGTTGCGACTGACCGTTACAGCATCATGGATGGTAACCGAAGCAGCAATCGAGTCGCTGTGCGACTCGATAAACCGTCCCTGTAACTGTACTCTACAACTGCTTTCTTATCTTCTATATATTGCTGTATGCTTGTTTCCTTAATCAATCACTTGTTCTCACATACTAGTACAAGGGTTCAACCGTCTCAACTTCCGCTGCACTACTCAAAGGCTCAAGTCTTCACAGCTGGGACTTAGTGTCTGAAAAGATCCTAAGGGCTTTTTCTCAGCCCAACATGGTATGAGAGCTGGTCAGAGACCAAACTCCCAGCAACTACACTCCATCAACAACCAGCAACTCGACTTGACTCAACAACTCCATTGATTACAAGACATGGACAACAAGGGCAAGAAAGCCTCTACGGGCTCACCCAGCGCCCAAGAAACTCAACACGGCAACTCTGGTCTGCACACCTCAGGACTGCAGACAGAGACCGGGACTGCTCAAGAAACAACGGGAAGAGCACCGGAGATGGTGACTCCGTCTCCCTCTTCAAGTGTGGACCCGAATCTCATGGAGAGATTCTTCAGCTTCATGTCACACTTCGACCAGCAGCAGCAGACAAGGACACCTGCGCACTCAACACAGAGCAATGGAGGGAATATGGGATTAGCGCCGATGAGCCTCGACAACTCATCCTTCGGGCGACACAATCAAGCACCTACTTTTGCGCCTTATCACTCTTCACCGGGGACGTTCGAGTTCATGCCGCCCCGTGCCCAGCCAACAGCAGCTGCATCACAACAAACACCGAACGAAATCTTAAGTCTTCAGGCACAGTTCTCACACGTAATTAAACTTCAGACATCCTCACCGTTCAACGGACATGACTTCTTTACCTGGAGCTTCGAATTCGAGCTGCTGATGGAGGCCGCGCACCTTCTGGGATACTTCAACGGGTCCCTGCCATTCCCAAGCAACGGCACTGGGAAGGAACAAGAAATCTTCACGTATCAGTCGCTGCTGGCGTATACGGTACTCCTGAGAAACCTGTCACCACAAGAGCAGCAGAGCATCAGAACGTATCGGAGTTATGGAAACTCCGCGGAACTCGCATGGCATCATCTCAAGTGCCTCTATCAAGCAAACGACAGCGTGACACAAAGCAGACTCATGCAACAGCTGACAACAATACAGATGAAGACCGGGGAAAAGGCAATGCAGTATATGAGTCGCTGCCAAACCCTCCGAGACCGCCTGCTCCGGTGCGGAGGAACGATCACTGAAGAAAGCTTCGTAACACTTGTCCTCGCCGGGCTCGGGCCAGAATGGAGAACCACACGATCACTTCTTCGAGCCCACGGAAGAATTTCGGAGATGCACCTCTGCGCCGAGCTTCACGCTGAACAACAGGAGATGGATCTGTTCGAGGAAAGACAACCAAGGAAGCAACAGCAGTTAGTCTTCTACACTCAAAGAAGAAATGACAACAACTACAACCGACGCAACAAGCAAGATCAACGCGACAACCGAGGACTCACCATCGTACCGCCGTTCTGCCACAACTGCCAGACTTCCGGGCACTCCAAAGTCAACTGCAACCGCCCTCGCGTTTACCGTGCAGCAGACCCACAAGTAACTTCTACTCAAGCCAGTCCCCCAAGGCGCTCTTCAACATCTGCACAACAAACACCAAACATTATCAATTGCATGGTACACATCGACAACTGCGCACCCGGATCACCACCCACCTACGCGCCAGACGAAGAAGAGCTGCCGCCACCACGCTCACAAGGCCTTCAAGTCAATCCAACATATGCTGCGGTCGCCAACGCCGAACCCACCGGGCGAAACACCTGGTTCTTGGACAGCTGCTGCGGTCAACACATGTGCTCATCGGGACGCTTCGTGCAACAGGAGAAACGCCTCAACCGCGACGTCGTCATCACCGTCGCCAACAACGAAAACCTGAAGACAAACAGACAAGGCGTGGTTCAGTTACAATCGATGGAGACAAACGTCATACTTCAACTCAACAAAGTGCTCATTGTCGACAATCTGGGATACAACCTACTAAGCGTAAGCCAACTAATGGCCAAGGGGATTCACCTGGAGTGCGACTCCTACTCCAACGAGTTTCGGCTTTACCACGGGAAGGGCGGCCTCTTCATCGGTCGTGCCCTCCTGAAGTCCGGCGTCTTCGTGTTGGACTTCGTCCCCGACCGCGGTACTGCCGACAGCGACGGTATCGTATCATTCGCCGCCTGGACTCACCCGCCGGATCTTGATCCCGACTTCGACAGTGACGGCTTCTGGCACTCCAACACCATACCTGCAGCAGAGAGAACACGAGCATTAGCAGTTATCAGACAAGAAAGACAAGTACCCGCACGTGTCCTAACAAAACCATCACCTGCAGTATCGGCAGCAGGACCCCGCCGAGTACCACCACCAGCGACACGAGGACCGCCAACCGAAGCAGACCAACTTATGCCCGCCACACGAGAAGCTTGTCGAAGTCCCGCCTCGGTCGTCGCGTTCTTCTCCAACGCCGACATCTACCACCGCTCGCCCGGTCACCGCGCTCCCGACGACATCTGGCACCAACGTCTCGGACATCTTGCAAACAGCACGATACTTCAAACAATCCAAGCAGATGTGTTAGAACGCAACGCCCTTCTGACGACGAGCGGCCAAGAACTTCGACGACCACGCGCACGGTGCTTCACATGCTCCGAAGCAGATCTTCCTCATCAACCTTTCCCATCCCATCACAACCCAAGCGCACCTACTTACGCTCCGATGGAAAAGGTCTACAGCGATATTTTAAACATGCCTCGAGACGGCACCGAAGCCGACTTCAACTACGTCATCACGTTCATCGACGCCGCAACCAGATATGTCTGGCACTTCAATCTCACGACGCGCGATCAAGCCTTCGAAGCCTTCACAACATGGCTTCCCATCGCCGAACGAGAATCAGGACTCAAACTCAAGAGCTTCCAGTCAGACGGTGCACTGGAATACCAGTCACAACGCTTCAGGACCTATCTGACGGAAAGAGTAATCAGACGCCTGGTGTCCCTGCCCTATGCTCACCAACAGCAGGGGGTCGCAGAACGCATGAATCGGACCTTGCAGACGACAATGCGAAAACTGCTTCAGGGGATGAGACTGCCAACCACACTGTGGCCCGACGCGATGACACATGCTGTTCACCTGCACAACATGCTGTCCTCGTCATCACTTCCCAACAACGCATCACCGCACCTGTTGTGGACACGAAAAAGGGGCAGCACAAAATTACTCAGAGTTTTTGGCTGCATGGTACAGTACAGACCCCACACAGCCCGAGCAGGACGCTTCACACAACGAGCTCGGTGGGGACTACACCTCGGCATCGCCAAACATTTTCACGCGTGGAAAATTCTCGACATACAAAACAAAAACACGGTGGCATCACGAGATGTTATCTTCTACGAGCGACTGACGCTGCAGCATTACCTGGACAACATTGCCAACACACAAGACCCCACCGACGGCTTCTCAGGACTTCGTTCCTTCGCCGACCGTGCCGCCGAAGCTGACGCAGCAGAAGAAGACGTACCTGAAGCCTCGGAAGCTGCCGGACCACTCCCATTCTGTTCCGTACCTGTTCCACTCGACGAAGAAAATCCTCTCGATAGCAACAACCTCGACACCTTTTACCACTTCGCTGACCAAGGTTACGTTACACCCCACCCAGTCGACACAAATGTTTCAGAACGCATCGGTCCCAACTTCTTACCTGACCCAGAAGACGGTGACGAAGCAGCTTATTCCGGGAATGAAAATTCCCCTCGACACACACCCACGGGACTGCAGATTCTAGGCCTCTGGGTCTCCGTCCAGCATCCGCCGCCGCCTTCTCCGCGAGAGCCTTCAACCTTGTCGCAGGCTCTGGGGGGGGAACATAAGGCGAAATGGAAGGAAGCGATGGAAAAGGAGTTAAAGGCTCTGCAAGACCGGAAAACATGGAAACTGGTACCTGCAACAAGCATCAACGGGAAGAACGTCCTCTCGGGGAAATGGGTGTACCGCATTAAGACCAACTCAGACGGCTCCATCGAACGATTCAAAGCTCGATGGGTCGTACGAGGCTTCGATCAACGATACGGGACCGACTACACAGAAACCTTCGCTCCAGTCTCCCGTCACACCTCATTACGCATCCTACTCGCCATCGCGGCCACGAAGACATTACCACTACGCCAAATCGACGTCGTGAATGCGTTCCTATACGCACCTGTGGACGCTGAGATCTTCGTCGAACAACCCCACGGATTCATCGACGACCCCACGAAAGTATGCCAACTGACAAAATCCCTTTACGGGATCAAGCAAGCCCCGCGGCTCTGGCAGCAGCATCTTCACGGCCGGCTCGTAAAAATTGGATTCCTACAGCTACCGCATGACCAAGGCATGTACCGACTGCAGCAGGGAAGAGAATACATCCTACTCATCGTCTATGTCGACGACCTACTCTACATCAGCTCTACCACCGACATCGCCACCTGGTTCGAAGGGGAGCTGAAAGGAGACCTGACGATCACGGTGTCCGACTCAGTGACCCAGTACTTGGGACTAAATGTCGTCGAAGACAACTCGGCGTTCTACCTACACGCTGGAAAGTACGCAGGCACTATCGCGAAGAAATTCGGACTGACGCCGACTACGGTCCCGACCCCCTACCGCTACGGAAATAACAACAGCGCCCCCGCAAAACTCCCCGCGAAGCAAATCCAGGAGTATCAACAGAAGCTCGGCTGCCTACTATTCGCAGCAGTAACCTGCCGACCCGACCTGTCCTACAGTGCAAGTCAACTGGCGACGCATCTGAAGCAACCGGAACAGGAAGATCTCGAGGAGCTCAACCGGGCACTACTCTACTTCGTCTCCACGCCGACGATCGGGCTTACCTACAGCAAAGCAACAACACCGTCCGTACGACTACTCGGATATGTCGACGCCGACCACGCGGGAGATAAGGAAAATCGACGATCCAGGACGGGCTACATCTACCGACTAGAGCCCATCGGAACTATCTCCTGGCAGTCGAGCAAGCAGGAGTTAATCGCACTATCCTCGGCTGAAGCAGAGTATATCACCCTTTGTACTGCGACCAAGGAAGGACTCTACCTACGGGAGTTACTCGAGGAAGCGAAGATCGCGACCCTACCCGCCTTCTCACTCCTCTGCGACAACCAATCCGCGATCAAAATCGCGAACAAGGATGGCTTCGCCAACCGAACCAAGCACATCGCCCTACGGTACTTCTTCGTCAAGGATGAAATCGCGAAGGGGAGACTTCAACTCAGTTACTGCCCGACGACAGAAATGGCCGCAGACTATTTGACGAAGAAATTGGCGAAGACAAAATTCGACCACTGCATGCTGCTGACCGGACAGACAAACGTCACCAGATCCGAACATAACAGCACTCCAGAAACGAAGGGGAGTGTTGGAAATATCTCAAAGAACTTAAGCGTTTCTGAAGTATAACACTACACTCGAGGAAGACTACAAGGGAGCACGCGAGTCAACGGAGGTTACACGAGGGGGCGGACAAAGAATGCGAAAGGTCGCAACTGGAGGTTGCGACTGACCGTTACAGCATCATGGATGGTAACCGAAGCAGCAATCGAGTCGCTGTGCGACTCGATAAACCGTCCCTGTAACTGTACTCTACAACTGCTTTCTTATCTTCTATATATTGCTGTATGCTTGTTTCCTTAATCAATCACTTGTTCTCACATACTAGTACAAGGGTTCAACCGTCTCAACTTCCGCTGCACTACTCAAAGGCTCAAGTCTTCACAGCTGGGACTTAGTGTCTGAAAAGATCCTAAGGGCTTTTTCTCAGCCCAACACCTCCCTTCCTAGATCCGTTTTTCCTCACGCCATTCCATGGCGGTCTTCTTCCTAGTATCCTAGCCAACCTAGCCTCCTAAGTTTAAGAACCTTTAGTCCTAAGTTTCTAAGATGGTATCAGAGCCGGTCGTGTCCACCGGACCCTCTCCCTACGTTCCCGTTGCGTACTCCTACTGCATTCGCAGCCTTCGCGGTTTTCTGCCAGCCTGCCGTCGCGGCGCCAGGATGTCGCGACGGCCCCTTGGTGCCTGCCGTCGCGGCACTAAGTTGTCGCGACGGCCCCTTGTTGCTTGCCGTCGCGGCGCCAGGATGTCGCGACGGCCCCTTGTTGCCTGCCGTCGCGGCACCAAGATGTCGCGACGGTCCCTCGTTGCCTACCGTCGCGGCGCCAAGGTGTCGCGACGGCCCCTTGGTGCAGCCGTCGCCCCTCCGCCTCGCCGCTGCGACATTGACGGTGCGCTGTGGCGGCGTCTGCGGCAGCCGACGGCATCGTCGGGCTGCGGCCGGCCGAGCGACGTCTGTGGCGTCGCCGGGCCTGCCGCCCGCTCGCCACAGACGGGCGTCCCTCAGGACGACGTCCTCCCGCCAGTAAGCGCCGCGCCATTTATGGCGCGTCGCTGAAGACTCGCCTCGCCCCGCCCCCTCCCCTCCCCCCCCCCACCTGCACCTGCTTCCCCTGCATCCCCCCCTTTCTTGCTGCAGCCGATGACTGCCATGTGAGGGACCTCTCCACCGCCGAGGAGACAGGACATGCCGCCGAGAGGGCGGGGGCCGCCGCACCAGCCTCTGTCGTTCGAGCCCCCCGGCGCCGCCGCTGTTGCCGCAGGCCTGGAGCCGCCGCACACCGCCGCCGCCGCCGCTGTCGTCACTGTCGCTGCTGCCGCCATTGCCGTCTCAAGGGGCCGTGAGACCTACCCTCTTTCGGAGTCGTTTCGGCTGCTGCTGGGAATGGGGGTGCTGGGCTAGGGGGTGTGGGTGTGGGTGTGGGTGTGGGGGTGTGCGTGGGCTTGACACTACCAAGCCTAGGGGGTGTGTTAAAATTATATAAGTTATAATTTAATATAGGCTTGGTAGGTTGTTACTGAACCTTTCTGTAGGGGGTACAAACCCCTCCTTGTACTCCCCTCTCTTCCTAATCCAACCACCTTTCTTCTCGACATTCCCTCCCTTCCTAGATCCGTTTTTCCTCACGCCATTCCATGGCGGTCTTCTTCCTAGTATCCTAGCCAACCTAGCCTCCTAAGTTTAAGAACCTTTAGTCCTAAGTTTCTAAGATATAGCACATTCCCATCCCATCCCAGGACCCCTTATTAATTAGAATAGTCCATTTTCAGGTTTCATGTCAACATTCTGAATCGCACTAAACCAGCTCGCGTCAAGATTACACTCTATACAGTCTTCTTGCGGTTCTGATATGAGGGGAGCCTGACAAAAGGTGTAAGAACACTCACTTATACACTGCATTGCAGTCCAAGATGGCTGGAAGAAACACTCTAAGCGTGCGTGTAATGATGAATTCATTGTTGAAGGCAGATGAGTCTGAAAACATGTCTTTGTAAGCGTCAATACTTAGAAATCGACCCTAAGCAACATTGTCTTTGTATCAGCAGGTGTTCCTGCCACAAGCCCAGGAAGGAGTGTCTTGAGTGCAGCAGCACTTAACGAGGGCGCCGAGGGGAGGGAGAAAGCCCAGGCCCTGTCGCCATTCTGCCTCAGCCAATGGGTAGGTACAGTTTCGTTGCCGCCACTCGCCGCCACTGCTCTTACTCTTGGACAGCCGGGGGAAGACCCTATACAAAAGGCTTCTCCCTTACCGAATGGACGCATCAGCCAGAGCAGCAGACGTACACACCCCGAGCAACAACCAGAGGCACGCCCTTGAAGCGAGTCACCGTATCCCCCTTGGTGCGCAGGTCAGGCTCCTCCCACACCTCCTTCTCTCCCTTGCAACCTAACGCCTCCCTTTTGAGTCGACTCAAAAGCCCACACCTCCTTCGCTCCCGTGCAACCTATCGCCTCCCTCCTCCTCCCCCCTCGCCTTTACCCAATGGACGCATCGAGCAGGGTGGCAGACGTACACACGCCCCCAGCAACAGCAAGAGGCACGCCCTTGTAGCAGGCCACCTTATCCCCGTTGGTGCGCAGATCAGGCTGCACCGCCTCCCACACCTTCTTCTTGGGGTTCAGCTGCGCGTCCGGCTCCCCCGGGTAGCTGGGGCACGTGATTCGATCACCAGGTGCTGCTCCCTCGGGAGGATTGACGAGCTCCACCTGAGAGGGGGGGGAGGGAAAACGGAGACAGACGAGGGAAAATGAAGACAGAAAAGGGACCCGGGTCAGGCTGCACCGCCCCCCACACCTTCTTGGGGTTCAGCTGCACGTCCGGCTCCCCCGGGTAGCTGGGGCACGTGATTCGATCACCAGGTGCTGCTCCCTCGGGAGGATTGACGAGCTCCACCTGAGAGGGGGGGGAGGGAAAACGGAGACAGACGAGGGAAAATGAAGACAGAAAAGGGACCCGGGTCAGGCTGCACCGCCCCCCACACCTTCTTTTTGGGGTTCAGCTGCGCGTCTGGCTTCCTTGGGTAGCTGGGGCATGTGATTCGATCCCCGGGTGCTGCGGTCTCTGGAGGATTGACGAGCTCAACCTGATAGGGAGAGGAGGGTGAAGGGAAACAGAGGAGAGGACCAGGTCAGGTTGCACCGCCTCCCACACCTTCGTCTTCGGGTTCAGCTGTGTGTTTGGTTCCCCTGGGTAGCTGGGGCACGAGATTCTGTCACTGGGTGAGGCACCCGCAGGAGGATTGACGAGCTCCACCTGAGAGGGAGGGGAGAGAAAACGGAGACAGGCGAGGGAAAATGAAGACAGAAAAGCGACCCGGGTCAGGATGCACCGCCTCCCACACCTTCTTGGAGTTCAGCTGTGCGTCCGGCTCCCCGGGGTAGCTGGGGCACGTGATTCTTTCACCGGGTGTTGTTCCCTCGGGTGGGTTGACTAGCTCACCTGATAAGAAACGAGGGAGGGAAGAAGGCGGAGAAGGGTTGGAGGGGGCCACGTCGGGCTGCACCGCCTCCCACACCTTCTTATTGGGGTTCAGCTGTGCATCTGGTCCCCCAGGATATCTGGGGCACGTGATTCTGTCGCCCGGTGCTGCACCCTACTGTGCAATGGACCGTGTGACAAGCTCCACTGGTGCGGTAAAGTTGTACAAGCGCAAACTACTGCTCTTTTTCTGTTGCGCTGGGTGCACAGCTTTGCATGCATGCCCGAATGTGTTTCCCCGATTTGGGTCACACATGCAATGGCGGCATTGGAAGTCTAAGTGTGGTCGGCACTGGAAGCAGCCTGCAGCACCATGGCTTGCCTCTTGATGCCCCTCATGGTTCTGCCTCATGGTTCTGCCTCATGGTTCTGCCTCATGGTTCTGCCTCATGGTTCTGCCTGTATTTGTACAGGAAACGTAGAAACGTCTTCCCTAGAAACCAAGAATGAACCTGCCCTAGAACCCACCTGAGTGTGGTCGGCGTTGGAAGCAGCCAGCACCATGGCATGGGACTTGATGCCCCTCATGGCCGCTGGCTTGAGGTTGCACAGCACGCACACCAGCCGATCCTGCTCATGTGATCATAGAAAAAGACAAAGAGAATGTGTGTGTGAGTGTGTGCAAGGCGCAAAAAAGCGGCGTTTTTTTCAAAAATTTGTCGTTTTAAACGACATCGTAAGATTCCGTCGTTTAAAACGATAAAAAGCGGTCAATGTGCCCTTTTTTGATGTGGTGCAAAAAACGATCGTTTTATACGATCGTTTTTTTTGTACCCAACAATTGTATACGTATATCGCGTATGTTGGTTTGGCTGACTCGATTTTGGTGTCGCTCCAAAGTCAGATTCGAGCTGACACAATTTTCCAAAGTCAGGATGACGAGGAGGAGGAGGAGGAGGTGGAGGAGGGAGTAGAAGTAGTAAGGGGGGGGTTAGGTGCCGGAGGAAGGCAGGAAGGCAGGGAAAGTGGAGGAGGATTAGGAATAGTAGGGGGGGGGCGGTAGGGGCAGCGCGATAGGGGCAGGGAGCTCTACTCACCTCTTTTATGGCGAATCTGTTGTCGTAGTTAGTGCAGTATGCCTCAGGGATAGTGCCATGAGGTTTTTAGACTGATTAATAAAAAAATTGTGACTGGAGTTTTCGAACAAAAAAACGGCGTTTTTTTCAAAAAAAGGCCGTATAAAACGATCGTATTAAACGGCCCGTTTAAAACGACCATCGCTTTTTTGCGCCTTGAGTGTGTGTGTGTGTGTGTGTGTGTGTGTGTGTGTGTGTGTGTGTGTGTGTGTGTGTGCGCACGCGCTTAATTTTCCATGCTCTTGATGCACACAGAGAGCGAGGGGGGCCAACAGGTGCACAAAACAGGGAAGTACCATGGATCGGGAATACAAGGAGAACATTGCATAGAACCATCCTTCACTGCACGTAGCACCAATTACTCACCTGCATCTGTTCGATCAGCACGAACTACACAAGCCCACAGACAACGGTGCGAGGTCCCTCTGGCTCCCCCGGGTCAATCTGCTCCACATAAAGCAAATCGGCGCCGGGGTGCTTCGGCACCTTCAGGTGACCTACACTGCTGCTGTCGACAGCCATCCCTCACCGCACAGAACCGTTCCTCACCTGCATCTCCTCAATCGGCACAAACTTCACGAGCCCACTGACAACGGTTCGCGGCCCCTCGGGTTCGCCCAAGTCAATCTCCTCCACGTAGAGCGAGTCGGCGTCGGGGTGCTTCTGCACCTTTACTATCCTCCCCACCCTCATGTCCAGCCGAGATACATCCACTGCTGCACTCTCTGCTGCTGCTGCTTTTCCTCCCCCAGATTTCCCCTTCTCCCCCTTCTCTCCCTTCTCTCCCTTCTCCCCCTTCTCTCCCTTCTCCCCCTTGGCCTTTTTCTCCTTCTTATCGACCGGACCATCTGCCGCCGCTTCTCCTTTTTTTTCCTTCTCTTCCTTCTTCGCAACACCATCAGCAGCAGCAGCAGCAGCACCACCTTTCCCCTTCCCCTTTCCACCACCACCAGCAGCTGCTGCTCCTGCCTTCGACCCACCAGCGCCACCAGCGGCAGCGGCTGCAGCGGCGGCAGTGCGGTCAGCCTGGCTGCCAGCGAACCGCTCTCTGAATGCCTCCACCTCGTCGTCCTTCATCTCCCTGAAGATGGGCTCCACCGCCCCGATGCTGTGCCCCGCTGCCACCAAAGTCCACGGCTGGAAGGCCGCCGCTGCTGCATCGTCCGTCAAGGTGAGAGAGGAGGCGGGCAGATTCAGCTGGGCTAGCACCTGTGGGGGCGGAAAGGGGGAGTGGTGGGGGGGGGAAGCGGGGGGGAAAGGGGGTTGGGATGCCCCAGTTCCAGCTGCACCACGCTGCACCACGCTGCACCACGCTGCACCACGCTGCACCACGGCGGACCGCGGCCCTCACTAGTCACAAGACGCGCCTTATCTGAGAAGGACGGCATGAAGGGTTCGCAGCAGCGTCGCAAGGAGATGGACCACCCCCACGCCCGAACACAGCACCATGCAGCACCACGACGCACCACGCTGCACTGCGGCCCTCACTAGTCATAGGACGCACTGTATGTGATAAGGACAGCAAGAAGGTTTGCAGCAGCGTCGCCAGCAGGTATGTGCACCACCTTAAAGCCCGACCACAGCACCACGACCCTCACTAGTCATAAGACGTGCCTTATCTGAGAAGGACGGCATGAAGGGGTGCAGCAACGTTGCAAGGAGGTGCACCACCCCCACCGCCGACCGCAGCACCACCCTGCACTACGCTGCACCACGCAGCAGCACGCAGCACCACGGGCCCTCACTAGTTCATAGGACGCACCTTATCCGAGAACGATGGCATGAAAGGCTGCAGCAGCGTCGCCAGAAGGTGCACCACCCCCACTGCTGACCGCAGCACCACGGCGCACCGCGGCTTATCCTCCTTATAGAGCTTCCAGAACTTGGAGTCCTGCAGATACAGGTTCCCCGCGCTGCTGACCGCCATGGCCGTCTTGAGCGCCGCTTTTAGCTTGACCTTCTCCATGTTATCAATGTATTCCTTAACTAAGTCTCCAACAGTTTGGCCGAACTTGGCTGTCAGCTCGTCCTGCTCTGCCCCTGGTGCCTCTGGCACGATTGAAGCAAAGCCCTCGCCTGGACAGGGACAAATAGGGGGGAGGGGGAGGGGAGGAGGGGAGGAGGGGAGGAGCGGGGGGGGGAGAGATACAGGGTCAGACTATGGTTTGACCCAACTTGGCTGTCAGCTCGTCCTGCTCTGCTCCTGCTGCTTCTGGGACGATCGAAGCAAGCCCTCGCCTGGACAGGGACGGATAGGGGGGAGGAGGAGGGGTGTTGGGAGGAGGGGAGGAGAGGAGGGGTGGAGAGATACAGAGTCAGACTATGGTTGGGCCGAACTTGGCTGTCAGCTCGTCCTGCTCCGCTCCTGCTGCCTCTGGGACGATCAAAGCAAAGCCCTCGCGTGGACAGGAATTGAAGAAGGGTGATGGCCGGGGGGGAGGAAGGGAGGGAGGGGTTGAAGGGGAAGGGATACAGGGTCACATTATGGTTGGGCCGAACTTGGCTGTCAGCTCGTCCTGCTGTACTCCCGGTGCCTCTGGGACAATCGAAGCAAAGCCCTCGCCTGCTGGGCGATAGAGGGGGGAGAAGAGGGAGGGGGCATGGGAAAAAGTGGGGAAAATGGCCACCTGCCTCTCTGCCCACACCAGAATCTGCCTTGTCAAAAGGGGCTCCATGCACCCATGCACCCACCGCCACTTCCCATGCACCAGTCCTGAGACGTCTCAAACCGCGTGATAACAATCGAGTTTTGAGACGGCTCAAAAGGGCCACCAACTGTCTCTCTGCCCACATCAAACTCTGCTGAAAAGGAGTTGGATTCGATCAGAAGCAAGCCTGCTAAAAGTATATCTAGGACTAGAACTGAGATTATTTTTGAGGCGCCTCAAAAATAGACGCCTCAAAAATACACGCCTCAAAAATAGACGCCTCAAAAATAGATGCCTCAAAAATAGACTCCTCACGCATGGTATATCTAGGACTAGAACTGAGATTAACGGCAAGAAAGGTAACAGAAAAATCTCTTACCCAGAACGCCAGACACAAAAGGCCCGGATGTCGCGTGCGCTGATCAAGGCCTATTGCTGGCCGAAACGCATTCACACGCGACATCCGGGCCTAATGTGTCTGGCGTTCTGTTACCTTTCTTGCCGTTAATCTCAGTCCTACATCTACTGCTAGGAGGCTTGCTGCGGATCGAATCCAACTCCTTTTCATCTGTCAATATGGGCTCCACGGACCCCCCCCCCCACCCACCGTCACTTCCTTCCCATACACCTGCTGGCTAGAGGCACGGAAAGCGAGGAGGAAAAGCGACGGCGGTTTACTCACTCACTGCGAGCGAGAGCTCACCTGCTGCAGGCGTGGCCAGCAAGTCAACGGGAGGGAGCTACATTTACCAGAGTTTGCCAGTCAACCTCCATTCACCTTCGAGCTTGGCAAGGAAAGCGATGGTAGTCGCTCACCTCCCCTCCACTCCACGCACTCGCTCGTTGTGGGAGTGGAGTGGAGGTGAGCCATTACCAATCACTCATCGCTCATTGTGGGAGCGCTCACCTGCTCCAAGGGTGGCCAGGAATGAAGCCACAGGGAGGAGTTGCACCAGCGTGTGTACATTCACCTGAACCTGCCTACCCACCTCCCCTCACCTTCGGGCTTGGCAAGGAAAGCCAGGGAGCGGTTGACGAAGTTCCCAAGGTTCTTGAGCAGCTCGTTGTTCTGCTTGGCCTGCAGGTCCGCCCAGGTGAAAACGGTGTCGGATACCTGGAGGAGGGGGGAGGGACGGGGTGGAAGGGAGCATACAGAAGAAGTAAGGTATGGGTGGGCATGCGGGCATAGAGGTTCTTGAGCAACTCGTTGTTCTGCTTGGCCTGCAGGTCCGCCCAGGCCCTAAGAGGTCGGGGAAAGGGAGGTCGGGGAAGAGGGGGGGTGAGGGAAGGGGAGGTTTATGAGAAGGGGTAGAATGGAGTGGCACTTAGCCATGAGTGCTGGACCTTGAGGAGCTGATTATTCTGCTTGACCTGTTGGACAGACCAGGTGCAAGCTGGGAAAGGATAGGAGGTGTCCTTGACCCTCAGAACAGTTTCAGAGCACACCCCACACATGCATGAAGGTATTTGAAACCGTACCTCTGGTCGATTAGTGAGCTCCCAGCACACGCACGGCAACACCCAGACGTACAGCCCACACATTCAGCGCCCTCAAACGTACCTCGGGTCGGTTGGTTAGCAGATATTACCACCACACTCGCACGGGAATCCTTCTGTTCTGAGCATCGTTCCCAAACATGCCCATGCCTCAAAACACGCCCATACCCCCCCATGCACTTCAAGTCCATGGAAACCTCTGGTTATTTTTGAGTCGACTAAAAAATCACCCATGCACTTCAAATCCATGGAAATCTCACCTCGGGCCGGTTGGTGAGCAGGTAGTAGCGCCAACCTCCACAGGAATCCCCGTGTACTGGGCGCTGTTGCCAAACACGCCCACTCCCCAACATATGCATCAATTCCATTGACAAGGTCTCACCTCAGGCCTATTCGTGAGCAGGTAGTACCGCCACACCTCCACGGGAATCCCTGTGTCCTGGGCGTCATTGCCAAACACAGCAACACCCTTACAAACACTATACCCACACATTCAGTTCACTCTAATCGCACCTCTGGTCGGTTGGTGAGCAGGTAGTAGCGCCAGACCTCGACGGGAATCCCCGTGTCCTGGGCGTCGTTGCCAAACACGCCCACGCCTCGGCTCTTGCTGAACTTGCCCCCCTCGTAGTTGAGGTACTCGGTGACGCTAATCGTGCGCATGAGCGTCCACGGCTCCTTGGTACCGAGCAACGTGCAGGGGAAGATGACCTGATGTTGGGGGAGAAGAGAGGCATTTAGAGCACAGGTGTGTGCATGCGGTACCTCAAAGAGAACGCTCTTGCTGAACTTGCCCCCCTCGTAGTTGAGGTACTCCGTCACGCTGATCGTGCTGATGAGCGCCCATGGCTCCTTGGTGCCGAGAAGAGAGCCTGGGAAGATAACCCGAGGGAGGGGGACAGGCCGCGAATGCGTGAAAGTGTGATGGTGCATCGCCCGTTCCGCTTTACTGTGTAATTGGCAAGGTGATACCTGCTGTGTTGAAAGACATGTGCAACTCACCGTGTGGAGTGGAAGGGCAGGTTGTCCTTGCCAATGAACTGCACCAGCTCAACCTCCTGGGGGTTCTTCCACCACCGCCTTCCGCGTGCAGAGGGATGCAAGGGGTACAGCATGGACTCACACAGGCTGCGTGAAACGGCAGCACATACCGTGTGGAAGGGCACATGGTCTTTGCCCATGAACTGCACCAGCTCCACCGCCTAGGGGTTCCTCCACCACCGCACCAAGTGTATAGAGAGATGCATGCTGACAGTATGGAAGGGCAAAGCAACCCCCCCCTTACCATGTGGAAGGGCACGTTGTCTTTGCCCATGAACTGCACCAGCTCCACCTCCTGGGGGTTCTTCCACCACCGCACCAAGTGTACAGAGAGATGCATGCTGACTGTATGGAAGGGCAAAGCAACCCCCCCCTTACCGTGTGGAAGGGCACGTTGTCTTTGCCCATAAACTGCACCAGCTCCACCTCCTGGGGGTTCTTCCACCACCGCTCCCACTGCTCCGTGTAGTTGGCTGTGATGCTGATGTACCCTATGGGCGCATCGAACCACACGTAGAACACCTGTGGGGGGGGGGGGGGGGGGGGGGAGAGGTTAGAAAGACAAGAGAAGAGAAGGACAGAGAGAAGGGGGGTCTCGAAAGCTGATGCAGTCAAGAGGTGTGTTCTGACACACATGCACAAGCTTTGCCCTGCACACACTTACCTTGTCCTTGTATTTGTCAAGAGGCACCAGCACGCCCCACTTGAGGTCCTTCGTGATGCACCTGGGCTTTAACCTGTCCCTGATCCACGCGTTGGTCGTCCCTCAACACGCACAAACCCACACACTCACCCTCACTCTCACATACACACCTTTTCCTTGTATTTTCCAACGGTAAAGGCACACCCCACTCTAGATCCCTTGTAATACACTGGGTTTCGACCCCTCCCTGATCCACGCACTGGTCGTCCTTCAACACAGGCCCCTGCATTTCCCTTCAGACCAAACCACACCCACCTTGTCCTTGTATTTGTCAAGAGGCAACGGCACACACACCCCACTTCAGACCTCTGGTGATACACCTGGGCTTTAAACAGCACAGAGAGGCAGTGCACGAACCCACCTTGTCCTTGTATTTGTCAAGAGGGACCGGCACACCTCACTAGTGATGCATCTGGTTTAACCCAGATCTCATCCACGCGTTGGTCGTCTGAAGGCATTTGGCACTTGTTCGGGCAAGCACCCACCTTGTCCTTGTATTTATCAAGAGGCACAGGCACGCCCCACTTGAGATCCCTGGTGATGCATCTGGGCTTTAACCCATCCCTGATCCACGCGTTGGTCGTCTGAATCGAGTTGGCGCTCCACCCGCCCGCTGCTGACGTGTCACTCACGTACGTCTCCAGCTCAGCCTTCAGCTCGGGGAGGTCAAGGAACAGGTGCTCTGTGTTGCGGATCTCTGGGCGGCTGTGGCAGATCTGATTTGATTTGGTTTAAAAGTGGGGAGAGAGACGAATGAGGTTGAGCAGAGAGGAGAGAAAGCCCGGGGAATACAGACAGGTTATACACGATGAGAGAAGTGTGCGATGCAATGCAGCATGGTGCAAACCGGTAAAATACGGTGGTGCAAAAGGAACCGGCACAGCCTACGCAGAAGGCTTGTTTTGAGAAATCTCAGAGTACGTCTGCTGAGAGAACTGGCACAGCCTATACAGAAAAAAAAAGAAAAAGGAAAAGCAAAAGAGGTTGCGTCACTGCCTACGTGGCATCGAGGGTTGATGAGGTCAGCGGCATTGAGCAGCTTCCCACATCGGTCGCACTGATCCCCCCTGGCGTCCTCGTATGCACACCCCGGCGTGGGGCATGTGCCCTCCACAAAGCGATCGGCGAGGAAGCGAGAGCACACCACACAGTAGGGCTGGTGGGGGGGGGGGGAGGGGGGAAAGAAAGACGAGAGAGAGAAGAGGAAGGAATGGGTCGCACGGATCCCCCCTGGCGTCCTCTTATGCACACCCCGGTGTGGGGCATGTGCCCTCCACTAAGCGATCGGTGAGGAAGCGAGAGCACACCACACAGTAGGTCTGGTAGGGGGAAGAGGAGAGCGGGGGGGGGGGAAGTTGGATAAATGGAAGAATTAATTGCATTGGTCGCTCATGGATAGAACCGAACTGGATCCCTACCCACCTGGCTGATGCTGGCCCCCCCCTGCCTGATACTGCCCCCCCCCTCACTAACGGTGCGCCTCACCTGGCTGATGGTGTCCTCCCTTAGTCTCTTCTGCTCGTGGATCGACCAGAAAATGGCATGGCAGGCCTGAGTCTGCTGCGGCCTTCTCTCTCTCTGTGCAGTGACCTGAGCACGCACCGCACCTCACTAAGCGTATTCCCACCTGACCGTCAGCCAGTGCCCCTCACCTGACCGTCAGCCAGTGCCCCTCACCTGACCGTCAGCCAGTGCCCCTCACCTGGCTCATGGCTTTCTCTTTGAGCCTCCCCTGCTCGTGGATCGACCGGCCGGAAGACGGCGTGGCAGATCTGCGTGTGCTGCAGTCTGCTCTTCAACGCTTCTCACCTGACTATGTGGACGACTGCCGTGCCAGACTGGTGGCCTTCCCACCTGACTATGTGTATGACGGTACGGCTACTGCGCCAGACTGGTAGCCTAGTTTTGAGGCGACTCAAAACTGAATATGTGGACTACTACCGTGCCAGACTGGTAGCCTCTCTCACCTGGCTGATGGCGTCCTCTTTGAGCCTCTCCCCTGCATGTGAATCCACCGGAAGATGGCCAGGCAGATCTGCGTCTGCTGCAGCCTTCTCCCTGAGCATTGTTCTGATAATGCACCACGCCTCACTACGCGTATTCCCACCTGACCGTCCCCCACCTGCCTGATGGCGTCCTCGATTTTGCAGGGTGTTTTTGAGAATTCTCAAAAACACCCTGCAAGATAATGCACCGCGCCTCACTACGCGTATTCCCACCTGACCGTCCCCCACCTGCCTGATGGCGTCCTCTTTGAGCTCCCCTGCTCGTGGACTGGCAGATCTTCGTCTGCTGCGGTGCTGTGTGCACTGACCTGAACGCATACCGCGCCTCACATGACTAAGTGACTTCCTCCCTCCCTACCCATCTGGCTGATGACGTCCTCCTTGAGCCTCCCTGCTCGTGGATCGACCGGAAGATGGACTGGCAGATCTTCGTCTGCTGCGGCCTTCTCAAGAATCTACCACAGCAGACTACGCGCACTCCTACCCACCTGGCTAGTGCTGCTGTCCCTCACCTGGCTGATGGTGTCTTCCTTGAGCCTTCCCTGCTCGTGGATCGAGCGGAAGATCGATTGGCAGATCTTCGTCTGCTGTGGCGTGGAGGTTCGGCCAAACTTGTCGCACGAGATGCCGAACCACTCGTAGATGCTGCGGTGGATGGCGTGGTACCTGGGAGAAAGGGGGGGTTGGGGAAAAGAGAAGGCGGTTCACGAATTAGGGGCAACTCATGGCACGAGACGAGATGCCAAACCACTCATAAGAGCTGCAATGGATGGTGTGGTACCGGTACTTACTCGTCATCCATCAACTGGTAGCTGGCTGGCTGGAGGAAAGGTACCTGCCAGCCAGCCAGGTACCAGTGGATACCTGGGCATACCTGGGCCTTCCTACTTGTCTCTAGTCACATCCCCCCCCCCCCCAACCTCTCTCCTTGCCGCATATCTGCTTAGGAGTGACCTTCTCCTGCATGGCCTTGGTCTCAGTAGCGGTCCCCTAATCGTCGGTGCCGTAGTCGTCCGTGCCGCCTTTAGAGGCGCCTCAAAAGTGCCGTAGTCGTCCGTGCCGCCTTTTGAGGCGCCTCAAAAGTGCCGTACTCGTCCGTGCCGCCTTTTGAGGCGCCTCAAAAGTGCCGTAGTCGTCCGTGCCGCCTTTTGAGGCGCCTCAAAAGTGCCGTAGTCGTCCGTGCCGCCTTTAGAGGCGCCTCAAAAGTGCCGTACTCGTCCGTGCCGCCTTTTGAGGCGCCTCAAAAGTGCCGTACTCGTCCGTGCCGCCTTCTGAGGCGCCTCAAAACTGCCGTAGTCGTCCGTGACGCATTTTGAGGCGCCTCAAAAGTGCCGTAGTCGTCCGTGCCGCCTTTTGAGGCGCCTCAAAAGTGCCGTAGTCGTCCGTGCCGCCTTTTGAGGCGCCTCAAAAGTGCCGTACTCGTCCGTGCCGCCTTTTGAGGCGCCTCAAAAGTGCCGTACTCGTCCGTGCCGCCTTTTGAGGCGCCTCAAAAGTGCCGTACTCGTCCGTGCCGCCTTTTGAGGCGCCTCAAAAGTGCCGTACTCGTCCGTGCCGCCTTCTGAGGCGCCTCAAAACTGCCGTAGTCGTCCGTGACGCATTTTGAGGCGCCTCAAAAGTGCCGTAGTCGTCCGTGCCGCCTTTTGAGGCGCCTCAAAAGTGCCGTAGTCGTCCGTGCCGCCTTTTGAGGCGCCTCAAAAGTGCCGTACTCGTCCGTGCCGCCTTTTGAGGCGCCTCAAAAGTGCCGTACTCGTCCGTGCCGCCTTTTGAGGCGCCTCAAAAGTGCCGTACTCGTCCGTGCCGCCTTTTGAGGCGCCTCAAAAGTGCCGTACTCGTCCGTGCCGCCTTTTGAGGCGCCTCAAAAGTGCCGTACTCGTCCGTGCCGCCTTTTGAGGCGCCTCAAAAGTGCCGTACTCGTCCGTGCCGCCTTTTGAGGCGCCTCAAAAGTGCCGTACTCGTCCGTGCCGCCTTTTGAGGCGCCTCAAAAGTGCCGTACTCGTCCGTGCCGCCTTTTGAGGCGCCTCAAAAGTGCCGTACTCGTCCGTGCCGCCTTTTGAGGCGCCTCAAAAGTGCCGTAGTCGTCCGTGCCGCCTTTTGAGGCGCCTCAAAAGTGCCGTAGTCGTCCGTGCCGCCTTTTGAGGCGCCTCAAAAGTGCCGTAGTCGTCCGTGCCGCCTTTTGAGGCGCCTCAAAAGTGCCGTACTCGTCCGTGCCGCCTTTTGAGGCGCCTCAAAAGTGCCGTACTCGTCCGTGCCGCCTTTTGAGGCGCCTCAAAAGTGCCGTACTCGTCCGTGCCGCCTTTTGAGGCGCCTCAAAAGTGCCGTAGTCGTCCGTGCGTTTGGCTCGCCTATCGTGTTTTGAGGCGCCTCAAAAGTGCCGTAGTCGTCCGTGCCGCCTTTTGAGGCGCCTCAAAAGTGCCGTAGTCGTCCGTGCCGCCTTTTGAGGCGCCTCAAAAGTGCCGTACTCGTCCGTGCCGCCTTTTGAGGCGCCTCAAAAGTGCCGTATCGTCCGTGCCGCCTTTTGAGGCGCCTCAAAAGTGCCGTACTCGTCCGTGCCGCCTTTTGAGGCGCCTCAAAAGTGCCGTACTCGTCCGTGCCGCCTTTTGAGGCGCCTCAAAACTGCCGTAGTCGTCCGTGCGCTTTTGAGGCGCCTCAAAAGTGCCGTAGTCGTCCGTGCCGCCTTTTGAGGCGCCTCAAAAGTGCCGTAGTCGTCCGTGCCGCCTTTTGAGGCGCCTCAAAAGTGCCGTAGTCGTCCGTGCCGCCTTTTGAGGCGCCTCAAAAGTGCCGTAGTCGTCCGTGCCGCCTTTTGAGGCGCCTCAAAAGTGCCGTAGTCGTCCGTGCCGCCTTTTGAGGCGCCTCAAAAGTGCCGTAGTCGTCCGTGCCGCCTTTTGAGGCGCCTCAAAAGTGCCGTATCGTCCGTGCCGCCTTTTGAGGCGCCTCAAAAGTGCCGTAGTCGTCCGTGCCGCCTTTTGAGGCGCCTCAAAAGTGCCGTACTCGTCCGTGCCGCCTTTTGAGGCGCCTCAAAAGTGCCGTAGTCGTCCGTGCCGCCTTTTGAGGCGCCTCAAAAGTGCCGTAGTCGTCCGTGCCGCCTTTTGAGGCGCCTCAAAAGTGCCGTACTCGTCCGTGCCGCCTTTTGAGGCGCCTCAAAAGTGCCGTACTCGTCCGTGCCGCCTTTTGAGGCGCCTCAAAAGTGCCGTAGTCGTCCGTGCCGCCTTTTGAGGCGCCTCAAAAGTGCCGTAGTCGTCCGTGCCGCCTTTTGAGGCGCCTCAAAAGTGCCGTAGTCGTCCGTGCCGCCTTTTGAGGCGCCTCAAAAGTGCCGTAGTCGTCCGTGCCGCCTTTTGAGGCGCCTCAAAAGTGCCGTACTCGTCCGTGCCGCCTTTTGAGGCGCCTCAAAAGTGCCGTAGTCGTCCGTGCCGCCTTTTGAGGCGCCTCAAAAGTGCCGTAGTCGTCCGTGCCGCCTTTTGAGGCGCCTCAAAAGTGCCGTAGTCGTCCGTGCCGCCTTTTGAGGCGCCTCAAAAGTGCCGTAGTCGTCCGTGCCGCCTTTTGAGGCGCCTCAAAAGTGCCGTACTCGTCCGTGCCGCCTTTTGAGGCGCCTCAAAAGTGCCGTACTCGTCCGTGCCGCCTTTTGAGGCGCCTCAAAAGTGCCGTACTCGTCCGTGCCGCCTTTTGAGGCGCCTCAAAAGTGCCGTACTCGTCCGTGCCGCCTTTTGAGGCGCCTCAAAAGTGCCGTAGTCGTCCGTGCCGCCTTTTGAGGCGCCTCAAAAGTGCCGTAGTCGTCCGTGCCGCCTTTTGAGGCGCCTCAAAAGTGCCGTAGTCGTCCGTGCCGCCTTTTGAGGCGCCTCAAAAGTGCCGTAGTCGTCCGTGCCGCCTTTTGAGGCGCCTCAAAAGTGCCGTAGTCGTCCGTGCCGCCTTTTGAGGCGCCTCAAAAGTGCCGTAGTCGTCCGTGCCGCCTTTTGAGGCGCCTCAAAAGTGCCGTAGTCGTCCGTGCCGCCTTTTGAGGCGCCTCAAAAGTGCCGTAGTCGTCCGTGCCGAGCCTCATGCCGTAGTCCTGCCTTTTGAGGCGCCTCAAAAGTGCCGTAGTCGTCCGTGCCGCCTTTTGAGGCGCCTCAAAAGTGCCGTAGTCGTCCGTGCCGCCTTTTGAGGCGCCTCAAAAGTGCCGTAGTCGTCCGTGCCGCCTTTTGAGGCGCCTCAAAAGTGCCGTAGTCGTCCGTGCCGCCTTTTGAGGCGCCTCAAAAGTGCCGTAGTCGTCCGTGCCGCCTTTTGAGGCGCCTCAAAAGTGCCGTAGTCGTCCGTGCCGCCTTTTGAGGCGCCTCAAAAGTGCCGTAGTCGTCCGTGCCGCCTTTTGAGGCGCCTCAAAAGTGCCGTAGTCGTCCGTGCCGCCTTTTGAGGCGCCTCAAAAGTGCCGTAGTCGTCCGTGCCGCCTTTTGAGGCGCCTCAAAAGTGCCGTACTCGTCCGTGCCGCCTTTTGAGGCGCCTCAAAAGTGCCGTAGTCGTCCGTGCCGCCTTTTGAGGCGCCTCAAAAGTGCCGTAGTCGTCCGTGCCGCCTTTTGAGGCGCCTCAAAAGTGCCGTAGTCGTCCGTGCCGCCTTTTGAGGCGCCTCAAAAGTGCCGTAGTCGTCCGTGCCGCCTTTTGAGGCGCCTCAAAAGTGCCGTAGTCGTCCGTGCCGCCTTTTGAGGCGCCTCAAAAGTGCCGTAGTCGTCCGTGCCGCCTTTTGAGGCGCCTCAAAAGTGCCGTAGTCGTCCGTGCCGCCTTTTGAGGCGCCTCAAAAGTGCCGTACTCGTCCGTGCCGCCTTTTGAGGCGCCTCAAAAGTGCCGTAGTCGTCCGTGCCGCCTTTTGAGGCGCCTCAAAAGTGCCGTAGTCGTCCGTGCCGCCTTTTGAGGCGCCTCAAAAGTGCCGTAGTCGTCCGTGCCGCCTTTTGAGGCGCCTCAAAAGTGCCGTAGTCGTCCGTGCCGCCTTTTGAGGCGCCTCAAAAGTGCCGTAGTCGTCCGTGCCGCCTTTTGAGGCGCCTCAAAAGTGCCGTAGTCGTCCGTGCCGCCTTTTGAGGCGCCTCAAAAGTGCCGTAGTCGTCCGTGCCGCCTTTTGAGGCGCCTCAAAAGTGCCGTAGTCGTCCGTGCCGCCTTTTGAGGCGCCTCAAAAGTGCCGTAGTCGTCCGTGCCGCCTTTTGAGGCGCCTCAAAAGTGCCGTAGTCGTCCGTGCCGCCTTTTGAGGCGCCTCAAAAGTGCCGTAGTCGTCCGTGCCGCCTTTTGAGGCGCCTCAAAAGTGCCGTAGTCGTCCGTGCCGCCTTTTGAGGCGCCTCAAAAGTGCCGTAGTCGTCCGTGCCGCCTTTTGAGGCGCCTCAAAAGTGCCGTAGTCGTCCGTGCCGCCTTTTGAGGCGCCTCAAAAGTGCCGTACTCGTCCGTGCCGCCTTTTGAGGCGCCTCAAAAGTGCCGTATCGTCCGTGCCGCCTTTTGAGGCGCCTCAAAAGTGCCGTACTCGTCCGTGCCGCCTTTTGAGGCGCCTCAAAAGTGCCGTACTTGTCCGTGACGCATTTTGAGGCGCCTCAAAAGTGCCGTAGTCGTCCGTGCCGCCTTTTGAGGCGCCTCAAAAGTGCCGTACTCGTCCGTGCCGCCTTTTGAGGCGCCTCAAAAGTGCCGTAGTCGTCCGTGCCGCCTTTTGAGGCGCCTCAAAAGTG